TTATTAGAAAATATGTGTAAAACAAACTTGGCATATAATTATCAAAATTATTTTACAATTGAATTTGAATACAAAAATGAGCAGATAAATCGTGTTCAGAGAGAAAATCATTTGTTACTTTCTTATCAGAAAGTGAAAGGGGGAGTAAAACTTTTATATAAAAACAGTTGAAATCTAGGAAAGAAGCGGTATTAAATAAATAAGAGTTATGACGTTTGACAATTAATTATAAATATCTGCTTTTATTGTACAATATTCGATGTTGTCTCCTATTATAAATCCAACTTATAAATTAGCTAATTAAAATCAATGTTTATTTCAGCAAAGACGCTTTCTTCATGTGACCTCATGCATCAAAAACTCAATGCTCAAAGAAAAAAAAAGAAATTTTTTTCGTTCTGATACTAAAAGTTTTTAAAACATCATAAATTGTTCCAATTAACTCAAATATCTAATTACCAAAATTTTACTGAATTGAGAAGTGAAAACAATCAAGAGCAGATATGGTGCATCAAAAGTTACAGTTGTTTGAGCTATTTTTCGTCACTGCTATTTTTTTGGAATTTCCCAAAGATAAATTTGTTGAACCCAGATCGTTAGAAGTATCAACAGTGGAAAATGATAATTCGACGATAGCACCATTGACAACCACTGCGCAACACAAGGATGTAATTGTTCAACAGTTGATTTCTGCTTCACCTACAGTTCCTACAGTACCAGTAAGCGTAACAGATAATTCTTCGTCTGTTGAGAGTTCTATTGAAGCTCAGGACTTTCGAGAGAAATACAGGTAGAAGAATCTTTTGAAGTTCCTAATGTTTCAGCTGATTATTTTTTAATGTTTTGGAAATTAAACCATTTCCTAAGTATCTAACATATTTGTTATTAAAATATAATAAAGTAAAATTTATAAAGAACCGTAGATATTCAGACATCTTAAAAAAGTTTGTATATGCTCACTTACTATTAAAGGTAAAACTCAATGCCACGAAATGTTGCTTAAGTATACTCTTAAATATCAAGTATCATGTATGAAGGTTAAAACATTTGCACATGACGCACATAAGTTCTATTTTTTTATTCATGTGTTTTTTTATTCGAAATTCGTGTTGTTTCCTCATGACGAACATTTTGGTTTTTACGAATTTTTGAACCTAAAAAATGTTGAGAAGATCATGTTATTCAAGAAAAAAAATTAATTTATTCTGTCTATATTTTTATAAGATAGGTATTTGATGTAACAAATCAGGGGTCGAGATTATTGATGCTTTCAATTCCAATTTTCTCAAATCGTTTTGCTTATCCATCTTCAATCTAAAAGATTGATGAAATGAATGCAAAACAAACCCAAAACCTCTGTTATTATTCTAGAATTAGCGGTTCTTTAATCCATTGTTAATATAATCTTGGACATTGTTAAAGATTTGGCAAGGAAATATCTTATGTTAGTGTATAACAACAAGTTTAATTAATCATTCATTTTATTCTCTGACACCTGATAAAAAAAAGTACAAAAAAATTATTAAATAATATGAAATAATTTTTTTTAGTTATTCTTCCGGACCCAAAAGAAACCAATCTCTGTATGATGAACTTAAATCGACATCTCCTCTTGACCAAACATCTTCACCTTTTGAAACTTCATTGGAATTTATAAAATTTGAAAACTTAGCAATTGGAAGTAACAGCGAAGACACCACCTCTGAAGAATCTATAGAATCAAAATTTCGAGAAGACGAAAAAGGGTTTAGGAACAATGCATCTACCGAAGTACGACATGTTGTTGATGAAGGAATTTTCGATGGAGTAGCTGTTAAATATAGTTCAATGATAATTAAAACTACTGAAAAGCCAGATCCTGTTATACATGAAAAAGAAAATTTAAATGCAACTAAAATTCCTTTTATCGAAATGATCACAACTAAGAAAGCTAAAAGTATTGAAATAAATCCTCAAACTGACGGAAATATCAACACATCAATTCCAATTACCTCAGAAGTCTGGGCTTTAGCTGGAATGAGAAACAATGAGCAAGGGAAAGACAAAAATCGAAATTCGAGTGCAGTGATATCAAATCCAAATCACAACTCCACCGCTAAGAACTTACTTGATTGGAGTGAAATTACAAAAATGACTGCTATGAAACCTGAAAACGAGGATGAAAATGCTTCAATAAGTAAAACAACTCTTGTAGATTATGTCGGTGGAATTGAGGATTTATCGAAATCTGAAAACAAAGAAGATTTATTAGTGTCACCATCATTTGCCCGAATGGCATCAACACATAAGCCTCTTGTAAAAGATGTCAGAATCGAACTTGATAATACTCATACAGAATTTGCGGGCACCAATAAAAGTTTCTCGCCAAATTCACGTCTTGATGTAGATGAGTTTAGCAAAACTCTTGATGAAAGCGAAGACAGTGCGATAGATTTGGTAGACTCTTTAAATAAATTTCAATCAAAGAATAAAGAAGAAAATATCCAGGAGGAAGAAACGAACGAGATGTTGCCTACTACTACTTCCAATGAGAATTTATCCACAGATAATACTTACATTGAAACATCATCAATGATTGATAGTGAAGCTACTACGAGTAGTGTTGATTCATTTACTGAAATGGCTGAAACCGGAAGGGAAGACGAATCAGATAGTGCACTTAAAATGACAACTACAGAAAATTCCATACATACCATTGAACCATTTACAGAAAGAGTAGTTACCACTCAATACCCTGAGACTACAACTTTCGTTGAAATAACCGAATTAGAAACAACACGTGATATTCAGACTTCTCCAACAAAATCTATCTCTACCAGATTAGCATCCAAAACTGAATTTCCAAAAACTTATACAAATCCTTTTGTTGACAATGAAAGTTTCAGCTCAACTCTTATTCCCAGATTTATTACAACTAAAACAACTTCAACAACTGAAAAGGAGAAACCAAGATACACTGAAATGATGGCTACTGTTGAAACAACATACGCTGATGACAAATTTAAGTATGGAACATTATTACCATTAGCTACATCAGCTGACACAATAGAAACAGTTGTGGAAATGCAAAAAACGACTATCAAAACGTCTACATTAAGTTCGGAAAGTTTCAACAAAGAAAGCTTAGACGGTGAACAGTCTAATGATAGCAGGGGTCACTTAGGACTAATTTCAGCATCCATTAGTGTTGTTGCTATAGTCATAATTGCTGGCATCATTTATGTAAGTGATAAAATAGGTCAACACACGAATATAAATTGGCCTCACATCTTAATGTTTCTACCTTATAATTCAGTTTGATAAAAAATCGCTGAAATTAGTCTACAATTCATTTGAATGAATTTTGATATAGAATTCCAACTTTAGTTCAATTCAGTTTAATATTTCTATATTATTAAGATACCTATTTCCATACTTTCAACTTAGATCGAGAGAACTGTTAATTATCCACTTGTATCATTAATAACGCTTTACGAGCTTCCAAGAAAAAAACATAAAACATCTTTTTTTTTCTTTACTTCATCTTTAGTTTATAATGAAACAACGAAATAAACAAAAGTTCAGCCAGAGATGTCGACCGGTGGGATTAGATGCATACAGTCTGGATAATGTTTCAGTCTATAACAGTGTGCGACGAAAAGCCAATGCCTTAAGATTATCAAAACGATCTTACGGGAATTCGGCATTTGAAGATCCGGTAAGATGCAATAAGCAAGCGAAATATGTACATAAAATATTAACTTGCATTTTCCTGATTTCAGAGTCTTCAAAGCAATGTTTTGGATTATCAATCTCTTCAAAACTTCATTAAAAATAAAATAACTATTCATAATGAGTTTAAAGAGATTCCTCAAATAACCGTTCGAATCGATGAAGTGCCCGAAAATTGCGAAGATAAAAATCGTTATGCAAATATCATTCCATTACCTGAAACTCGTGTTATCTTAAAACGACTTGGCGATGACGAAAAAAGTGAATACATCAATGCAAATTATGTGAAAGGTCCAAAAGATAACAACAATTATTATATTGCAACGCAAGCACCAATTGAGAATACTGTTACCGATTTTTGGCGAATGATTTGGGAGCAGAACTCGAAAGTCATTATAATGGCAACTGATCTGTCTGAGAATGGAGTCGAGAGATGCGCTGAATATATTCCAGCATCAGTCGTACTTGATAATTCTTTAACATTTGGTGATTTCATTGTGACACTAAAAAGTAGAGAAGTGAAGGAAAAATATGCAATATCTCAGTTGCACTTGAAAAACATGGAGAGCAATACGTGGAGGGAAATAATACATCTCTGGTATTCATGGCCCGAAAGTGGTTGTCCCACAGAACCTACAAGTATCATAAATCTTTTAATAGATGCAAGAAATTTCCTTCGAACAACATTACCAGAACATCTCGATGAAAATAGTAATTCTGATGAGAAAACGTCAAGCGGTAGAGAAAATCTTTCGACTCTAGATAAGACAAAGTCACTTCAAAGAACGCAAGGGTGAGAAACAAAATATGATTCACAAAAGGTAATTATGATGATTATTCCTTTTTTCTTTTTCTTCAGACCATTAACAGTACATTGTAGCCCGGGTACTGGGAGAACTGGAACAATCATAGCTTGTGATATTATCCTAAGGATGCTTGACACTCCGCCTAAGCAAATTGATATTCCTCAAATAGTTTATTCCATTCGACGAGGACGAGCAAATGCTGTACGTACTAAAGATCAATATGAATTCTTATATGAAATCGCAAACGTGTATGCAACAAAATATATTTCTGTAACAGCAGAAACATAAATAATCAGGAATCATAAGTACGTTTAGATTTGTCCGTTCTCATTAACTTCCCTAATGTATCAGTATCAAATATTATTATAATTATAGTTAATTCATGTTATGATTGAACATAAAGTTATTAAGTATTTNTCTTATTAGCCCAAATAGAACGTCAAAAATTTCGACAAAAAAAAATAAACTTTTGTTTTACAAAGCATCTTGTACCGCTTGGCAATAGTCAGGTTTTCACAAATGAATAAAGCATTAGAACAAATATCATAAACATTAATCAATCATTTGCAAATCAAATCAAATTAAAATGAGTGTTTCTTTAAGATTTCTTTAAATGTGTGTCTTGACAGGTGAAAATCGAATTCATGTTCAACCTCTTGAAAATCTCTTAAGATCCTTGATGTTGGATTATTTCTCCCATATTCCGTCCTATGTCTTGAAATGTCGCGTATAAGTGATGAGTGTCTCGACGTCAGCGCAGAAGTGTCTAGGTTTATTGCTGCTAAAAGTTCAGTGCTGTCAATTGATCCATTCAGGATATTTGCAACAAATAAATGGCCAGCGTTTTTCCTTCTACTTTCCAGCGTTTCAAGATTTAAATATGAACAACGATCTTCATATTTAAGATCCCTTTGAGGAATTAGACGCTTGCAAGCAATTTTTGTGAATTTTCTCTGGACAGATTCGATTCTTTTGACATTATTTTCTGAGAACGGAGACCATACGATGTTGCAGTATTCAACATGGGGACGTACAAGTGCACAATAAAGAGTTTTCAGAAGATCATGATCATTGAAGTCTCTGGTAAATCGCTTGATGAATCCCAAAACTTTCATCGAGTTTGAAACAACTTTATTGATATGTGCTGAAAAATCCAAGTGGCTTGAGATATCAATTCCCAAGTCCTTCACGTTCGAACAAGCTTCAAGGTTTGAATTTCCTATTGAATATTGACGACAACTAACAATTCTTTTTCTTGTAAACGTGATGGAAGAACATTTGTTTGGATTCAGCTCTAACTCATTTTGTTCACACCAATTAACAAAACTATTTAAATCGACCTGAAGAAGTTTCTTTTCATTTGTGTTATTGACGGTTCGGTAAAATTTGCAATCATCAGCGTACAAGGAAACTTCTGAGTGAGATAGAACATCAACGATATCATTTATCATAATTATGAAAAGATCTGGTCCACCATGTGTCCCTGCTGGAACACCGGACGACATTCGATACAGTTCCGACTTGACATTGTTGAACAGTACATATTGGTGTCTATTTCGCAGATAAGAACAAATCCAGTCAAACATTGGTCCACTAAATCCTAATGAGAACAATTTGTTAATGAGAATTCTGTGGGAAACTTTATCAAATGCTTTTGTAAAATCGGTGTAAATGGCATCAACCTCATTACCGTTCTCAATTGCTTTGATTATGTATGAAACATATGAAACAAGATTTGTTGCCGATGATTTCTTTGAAATAAAGCCATGTTGTTTCTCTGTCAATTGCCTTGTAATCATTGGACGAATCTTGTCAAACACCATCATATCAAACAATTTTGCTATCGACTTTTGAATTGTCACACTTCTGTAATTTTCAATTTCTGACTTATTTCCTTTCTTAAATATTGGGCAAACATGACATGTTTTCCATAAACAAGGAAAAATTCCTTTCTCTATTGAAGCATTGAACAACTTACAGAGTGGAACACTAATCGAAGATGCTATCAATTTAAGGAAACTTGGTGGAATGCCATCAGGTCCAGGACCTTTGTTACCATCAAGTTTCGACAAACCTTCCAAAATCGCGATTGGTGAAAATGATATCCTATTGATATCTATCAGTGTAATTGGTGGAGGTTCTGTAAGACATCCATATGATTCTGGGTTGTAGACCGATTTGAAAAATTTAGCAAAACCTTCAGCAACACTCCTATCCCCTTCAAGCAGAGTTCCTTCGAAAGACATTATTGATGGGAACTTATTTGATTTCCTTTTCTGGTTTACGAATGTGAAAAAAGATTTCGGGTTACATTTAATTTCATCAGATAATTTTTCTGTGTACATCTTGTATGCAATGCGATTCAACCTCTTAAATTCCATTCTAACTTCTTCATATTTTTTTCTACTTGCAACATTCGAGGGATCAATCATTCCATGCAATCTGTTTTTCCTTCTACACAGCTTTCTCAAGTCAAAGTCAAACCATGGAGGAAAAGAAGAGTTCAATTTTCTTGTTTCCACTGGAGTATGATTAAGTATCACGGAACAAAGAATAACAGTGAACAACCAAGTCATACGATTAACTGAATTGTCTTCCATTGGATTTCGAAGTTCATCAAACCACTCATACAAATCGGAATGAATATGCGAATTATATTTGCTTACAAACTCCTCCTTTGATAACTCAAGCACATCATCCCAATCTATGGCACCGATTTCGTCAATTATTGCAACAATATTTGATTTCTTGAAATTGATAAATCTTCTAGATCCAACTTCCTTCTCTTCTGAGTCATTAACACCAACAATAGTTAGTGACATAGCATTGTGGTGAGATTCATTTTTAATTAACGGATCGGTCAAATCGACAATGATTCTCTCATAATCGTTACTGAACACCAGATCTAACATTTTACCGTTGCTGTTACTTATATTATTTATTTGTTGAAGACCATTGCAAATCATTCCATCACTTATAATAAGTTCCGCAGTAGAAACAGCATTCAATGCAAATGTAAAATTTTCTTCTTGATCTTGGATCCATTTTAGACGAGGAAGATTGTAATCACCATAACAAACAATTAATTCATCAGACTTCACTCGACTAGATAATTCGTCAACAAACTTTATGTGTCGACCATAAAGATCACTGTTGCTATTGGGTGGTAAATAAACACAGACCAGATGAAAGATTTTTCGTCCGACCTCAATTTCAACATATACTTGTTCCAGATCCTCAAAACCAAATAAATTCACTTTTTTAATTGAAAATTTCTTCGATACAGCTATGAGGACCCCACCACCAGACATCTTATTGATTTTGTTATTGTTATTGTTCCTATCTGTGCGAAAAACTAAATAATCATCAGTAAAAAGTTCATTGTCCAATACTGAATCATCCAAATTTGTTTCAGTGAGCATAAAAATATCAAAATTTGTCTCAATGATTGAATGCAAAAACGTTGTTGTTCTTGATTTCAACCCATTTATATTTTGTGTATATATGCAAAGATTCGCTACATTACTGAATGTGGGCTTTCGGCATGACGAAAATTTTCATGTTGTTGAATTATACCCCTTGGTTTATTAACATAAGTTGAAGTAAAATCACGAATCTTTACATTTTCTGGCCAAAAATCATTATTTATAACATCTTCACTGACCTTTTCCGGCAGACCAATTTTATACGATATATAAAATGGTTTAAGAATTGTTTTGGGTGTTAATCTTGAACAAACAATCAAATTACTTTCAACTTCAATCTTCGATGTTACATAAGAGATCAAATCTTCACTTGTTGTAGTTGGTTGGAGATTAGAAACATGAATCCACTTTAATGATTGAACTGCACGAATTGGCTTGGCAGAAATTTGTAACGGAACATTCGTTGGTGTTTTGCTGTTCAAAATATCATTGTTCAACGACTCCACACCTGATGGCGACACTGCACTTGTTGATGGAAAAGTAAAATCAGTCGCTGAACGCATTACAGCTGATTTGTCATTATTTTTTAGTTTATTCCATAGGTGAGTATTTTCTTCCTTCAGCCTCAAATTTTCTATTTTTAGACGATTAACTTCTTCCTGGGTACCATTCATTCTTTCAATTTTCCCCTCTAATGCCGCTAGTGCCTCAATTATGCGTTTGTTGACATTCTTTAATTCTTTGATCTCTGACGTCACACCTTCTAAAACTGACGCTTCCGATGAAGAAATTTTCGCCGAATTATTAACAGACCCTGATGACATATGCGAGCTACCAAAGGATGACCTGCTTGGGCGACGATTCACTAGAGAACTTCTTCTTTTGCAATCAGTACAAGTCCAAATTTCATGTGACGGTGGCAATTGACTGCATTTCCAATGGATCCACTTCGTACATTTCGTGCATTTTACACCACAATTCTTAATGGTTGTTATGTTTTTGTGACACAGACAGCATTTCTGAGTCACTTTCTGCATTTTTGGCTATGGTTTCTACGGTACACTCCCCTTATACCTTGAAACCCAACCAAATTCCTGAAAACAAAAGCGAAGAACAGGAGAAGCGACAAATTTGTAACTGGCAAATATATTGATATTCACCAGTGTATGACTGTTTTAACCACTTATAGGGGAGTCAGCCAATCCGAAGATTTACCCAGGTCCTTAGGGGATCCTCTAGATATAGTGTGTGTCCAAATTTGTCTTTGATAGGTCGCAGAATGACTTTGCAGCTTTCAGTTTAATGAAGATTTTTTCGTTTCAAATTGCACAAATCAATTAAACTCCAATTTGCTCTCTCAGATTATTTATCAAACTATGTTTTAAAATCAATTTCGTGATTTAAAAGAACTTTTTTAATGCAAAATAATAATAAGAAATTTTTTTAGTAGATTATCCGTTACACACACACACACGTCACACATGATTCACAAAAGGTAATTATGATGATTATTCCTTTTTTCTTTTTCTTCAGACCATTAACAGTACATTGTAGCCCGGGTACTGGGAGAACTGGAACAATCATAGCTTGTGATATTATCCTAAGGATGCTTGACACTCCGCCTAAGCAAATTGATATTCCTCAAATAGTTTATTCCATTCGACGAGGACGAGCAAATGCTGTACGTACTAAAGATCAATATGAATTCTTATATGAAATCGCAAACGTGTATGCAACAAAATATATTTCTGTAACAGCAGAAACATAAATAATCAGGAATCATAAGTACGTTTAGATTTGTCCGTTCTCATTAACTTCCCTAATGTATCAGTATCAAATATTATTATAATTATAGTTAATTCATGTTATGATTGAACATAAAGTTATTAAGTATTTGTCAATATTCTTTTCATCATTCAGAATGTAAAGACTTCTTATTTACATACATTTTCAATTTTAATGTCTTACTCTTGTGCGAAAGAAATATTGTGATAAATTTACCTTTAATATGCAAACTGTCACTCAGTACATAAGTCGTTGACATTTACGATTTACAAAAATAAATATTTTATATTGTAACGATTACACATGTAGATAAGTATAAAGCTAATGTCAAAATATTGTTAAATGTTCCAAATATCAGAAACCTATATCTTTTATATAAATAAATGAGTGCATCTGTTATCCAGGCAAAATATTTAAGAAACATTTATATATTTACACATTTGTTAAACCTTTATAAGATAATTAAAACATCTATCGCAAAAAAAAAACTTTTGTTTGATTCTAGATGAAATTAATCATCATTACTTTATTTTTGATTAGTTTTCATTTTGTTTTTCGTTTCGAATTATTATTTTTTCACATCAAAACCATTGCACGAACGATATAAAAAAGGACTTAAATTCTAAGTACATACATTCAAGGAGTTTAGATATTAATTTTGGTTCAAAATCTCTTAACTTATGGTTAGCACATGACTAGATGAGATACTAAATATTCAATTGAGAAAAGAAAAAATGTATCACATCTTCCTCAACAAACTTTCAAACTTTGATTATGATTAATAGAGTTGTGACAATTGAAAGGCACGTTTTGTTCATATTTTTTTTACTTTGTTAACACAAAAGTTTTAAAATAAAAGTTGACAAATATATTTTCCTACAGTCGAAAATATCTTTTGAAACTAAACAACCAAGGGAAAACTTTGACTAAATGAAAAATCACTCCCACTTAATGATAAATGAAAGTAAAGGGACATGTGATAATCATAAAATGTGTAAACTATTAAATATCAAGATCTTCCCAATCTTCTTTCATTCTCTCAGAAAGTTCGATTTTGAAGTTGACCTTTGCTTCTTTCAAAATATCGTAGCAGATCCCTGTAAGTGGATTAAATCTGAGATCAACTGATTCCAAAGAGTTGTTATTGACATCGAGAAGATCAAAATCAATCTCAATTATTTTGTTTGTATGTGCAATGAGCTTCTTCAAATTCTTTAACTTGAAGACAACAGTGGGAAGAGATAAGAAAGAGTTACACGAAATATCTAAAGTCTCCAAGTAGTTTAAATCTGACAGCTCGTCAGGAAGTTTTGCCATTTGATTTTGTGATAAATTCAGCTCTGAAATAAAAACAAAAATTATTATAATGGTTTGTCTCAAGTTCATTATTAACTTTAGAAGCTATTCCATAAAGTTATTATAAATTTCCTGATAGCATAAATTAAATTTATATTTTTTACAATTTACCTGTTATCAAATTGAATTTTACAGCAAACTTCGGAGAAATCTTGGTTATCACGTTTCCAGATAAATCACAACTCTTAAGTTCTGTGTGTCTCATCAAATGGTATACGGCGTCAGGCACTTGAATGAGTGAGCATTCTGATAAATCTTTAAATAAAAATAGAAATGTTTTGATCAGATGTAATTTTCGACAAAATCCTTTCTACCTAAGATAAGACTTTCATTAGCATTCTGACATCTTTTAACTACTTCAGTTACTTGATAAGCCATTCCGATCAATTCACACTCAAACCACGTTCTCAATTTCACAACGTAGTACTACCTAGATTAATTCATTTTTTTTAGTTTGTGCGTGTTTAAAATAGCATCAGTATCCAAAATTTTACGAGAAAAATAATCTAAGGCCGTCTAAGTGTTAGTTCTCAAAATGTGTATGGAGTTGTGTGAATGATCATGAAGCTTTCGAAATTTACATAGCTTGGATCATCACCTTACATGCTTTATGCGAAATTTGTTTTCTTTTAATTTTCGCTATTTTTCAATTTGAAAAAGACAAAGAAAAATATAATACGTCGGTAGATAATGAAAAAGGTAATTTTTAAACGGCTTATCTACTTATTAATATGGTAATAATTGATAATCTATCAATAGAATATTTCGAAATACCAATAATGATTTCTGCAATATATTAAAAAAAATATGAACAAAGAACCGTTTTCAGAAAAGATAAACAAAATCGATGTATGTAGGTACTCTTTATTTTTATTCATTAAAGAAGAATATCGCGTCATATGTTTCGTCTGCGGAAGTTTTTGAGGCAGGAAATTTTCCCATTACAAATACTACTACGTGGTATTTATTTTGGAATATACGTCTTAAGAAAAGTAAAAATTTTGCTCCCAATCTGGCTCAAATTAAAGAAAATCTTAAAGGCGTATATTGAAATCATGCCAAGTTAAAAAAACTTCCTCATAAAGAAAATTTACACAAAGAAATTCACGGAAAATCATTAAGTATCTACGACTCTTAGAGTTGAAACAAAATAAGTATGTTACTTCTCAATGGAATGATCAACGACTACCTATTTATTCTTAATGAGATACTTCTTTCAAGAATTAAAATCAATCAACAAAAGGATAAGCCTAAGAGTTCGATAATAATAAATAAATAGAACAACTAATTATTAATAATGGAAAGCCTTAGAAAGCACATGGAATGCTCACATCATCTGATCGAAGTTTCTGTTTAAATAGTAAATTATGAAAACTCTTTCATTGTGAAAAATAAGTATTATAAAACTAAAACTTGGACTTCAATTATACGATTTTGAAACATTATTGTTACAAAAAGCGTGTTGATGCCCCACTCATTTCAAGATACATATTATTTAATGAAACTTTAAGTAACTTAAAAATATAATTTTTTACCAATATATTGAAACATGCATCGAAGAGATTTTTTATACGTGTAATTATGTTTATACGAGTTTTAAATATGGTGCATTCCATGTCAGATAAGAAAGAAAATCACATATTAAAGAAAGATACTTCAAAGTTTCTAAAAGAATCAATGACAGATTTTTAGCAACATTGGAAAAGTTTTTTATTGATGCGTAAGTTTTAAATTGTTCAGGTATATTTTAACTTCAATACAACATATGAATTATAAATAATGGTAAGGAAAAATTATCGTTCAAATTCAATATATGGATTTAATGAATATAATGAACTTTTGAGATTTTTACATCAACTACCTTTAGAAAATTATGATATCAAACATTGCATTCTAAAAGTATGATTTTAAAAATATGGATTTTTTTTTTCTCAAAAACGTTCGCTATGTAGGTATTCTTTCTATTTAAAAATACAAAAATCGTCAGGAAAACGTGAGTTGTTTAAACGATGTTCAGCTCTGAAATCTTGAAAATGTAGAAAGAGTAACGCTGGAATGCATCATTTATGATAAATGTTAGTATTGCATTCAGGTTTGTTTAGAAGTAAATATGTGAATGAATGGTTGGTAAATTTTCTTTTTAAAGTTGCACTTTTTTATGTTTTATGAATATTATTACGTTCGTTTTTTAGGTTTAATTTTTGTTTAAATTTAGCGACGCCATCAATTTCTATTTACGAATCAGTTTCTTTATCGCATTGATCAAAACGGGATCACAAATCTCTAAAATTATTCACAAATCACTTAGATTTATTTGCGTTCAAATACATTTTTCAAATAAAAGCGAAAATTGTTGGAAAGCATTGACATTTAGTACTTATGGATGCTTAATCAAAACTTATTTTTATTTTATAGTTTTCAAATCCTTTCTTTTAAACTCACCTAAATTATTATTTTCTTTGGCATCTTCACATCTACTAACGACCCGAATAATTCCTCTACCAGCTATGTGAGCAACTGGAGTTGCACCATTCTGAGTCAAACGACTGATGATATATTCTTGTCGTGTTCTATCGCTGTCTCCATCTCCATTCCCATCTCCCGAATTATTATTCTGTGATGTGGTATTTGTTATGTCTTGTCCAAAATGTGGAGGTCTCATTTTGTTCGATTTAACAATCTCTTTATTTCAAGTGAACTTTAATGATAGATATGCAACTCAATAGAATAACTTCTATGCTTTTATTTCTATTAACTTTGATATTCCACACAATCAATGTTAGTTTTCAGGTTTCAACTTTTCACTTCAGTGATCCGAGCACGACTAAAAACTGAGTAACCCTTAACGAGAAAAAATATTAAAATAACGACGCACAGCATGTATAAATATTCAGCATTTTCCTTTTCGTTTGTTCATATGATTCTGTGTATACAAACAGCTGATATTGCGTTTTTCCACATGTTCATTTGTAAAGAAAGAGATGGAACATAAACAAAGCAGCGACTCTTTGTTTGCCCTATATATGTGTTAATATTAGCAAATACATACATAAGACTACTAATGTTACATTGACTTTGTTTCTCAAGATCTTGAAACTTTCCACATCAGATATTTTCGTGCGTAAAACCTTTTGTGCTGAAAATTTTTCCGGAAGTTAATTGAACTTTAAGACAAAGAACTTTTCCTATATCGAAATATATTCATAGAATTTTCCTTAAAAATGAATTTACAATTTTGCATTGAGATCTGTGAATGTACACTTGAAATATCACCTAGATATAAAATTCATATGAATAATGAAAAGAGACAAAAACAAAAAAGTACGTATCAATCAATACAGAACAAAAGCAATCAATTTTATTTTCGTACTTCATTTTGTGATGTTTTCATGCAACATTTTGGAATTAAGTATTACAAAAAATCGTTTATTTCTTAATCTTATTAATGTTCAGTCAACATATTTTGATTATCTATCCTAAAACATGTACCCTTATGTTGATGCATATAAAAATCATGTTTAGGTTAATGTTCAGATACGAAACAAATTATTTTTATGATAATATTTAGATGAATCGAGTAACAATGATTCATAATTGATATTGGTTTACTGTGAATTCAAAATTATAAAAACTTATAATATAAAATACCTGAACCATAGTATAATTTCGAAGACTTTGAAGAAAGTGAACTAAGTTCTTCAAAAAAATTATTTTCACTATAACGAATCATTTCTGTCGATTTATTTTAAAGTAATCTTCTAGAAATTCTACCTTATATTCTAATTAATGAGCTGAAATGAAATGATAAATAGTTTTGGAGATATATTAATTTTCGTGCAAAATAAAATTAAAACTAAAAAGAAATAAAACTATTCTGGAATCGAGTAGGTTAATTATGTATATCGATAAAAATAAAAGTATTGAGTTATCAATCACATTATATTTTGCGCTGACTGTAAGCCTGAACATAAATGCAACATAATGACACTCAATAATTGAATTGTTTCTTCAGCCTTCTCCCTTCCATAGGATATGTTATCGGCCTCATTTGATTTCGATGTTCCTTTTCGATCATGTTGATAACTCGTTTCACAGTCGAGAGCAATGCGAAGCTTTGATAGCTAGAAATATATAAAAAAAATTATTTGTCAAAAAATTTTGTCAGATATTGAGTTTATTAATATAATGCCAATTAAATTTTAAGTTCTTGCGGTCACGACTTGAGTTTTTCTTATGCTTCGTAATTAAGGGGATTCCAAGTCACTTTAGTAAATAAAGATTTAAAATTCCCTTCTTGTTTTTGTAATTAAAATTGAAAATAAAATTAGTAACTTTACACAACAAATAAAGTGAATCTATATCCTGAAGTCTACATAAAATTCTAATATTAAAAATGATTTTAAGGTGAAATCAATGCAACTGTCAGACTAAGTACATAAAATCCTTTTCAAAAGATTTTCGATTTAAAATATGTGAAAATTACTTACCAGTAGATTAATTTTATTAATTCTTTCTTCGTTACAATGCTCAACATATAAAAGTTCGCTTGATGTTTTTGCTAGTTCCATTAAGTCATCCAAAGTTCCCCATCCTTGTAATGGCTCCACAATGTTTTTGATTTCATAGGAATCCATTATTTTTATATCAGATGAAAGTTGTTCAAGTTTATATACAACATTTGCAAACGGATTGTTGCTTTGTGTCACTAAAGACAATTTCCTTGGAGTATGTTGAGGTGTAGGTGGTAAACTTTTACTATTTTGAGCAAGTGATGAAACTATAGTAGATATATTTAAATTGTTCGCTGAATTTACTCTTTTAATGCCTTGTGAAACCAAATCACTAAACGATTGTCTATGTCCCGATAGCTTATAGTTATCTACAGCTTCATCAGCTAATTCAAAATCTTCACCTTCAATTGCTGTTGTCGTGATTCGTACTTCAGGTTGGATAGTTTGAGATTCGTTTTCTTTACCTTCACTCAAACCACTACATATAGTTGAATTTTGAGATTTCACCATACATTTCTTGTGACAACTCATTAAACAATCCTCACATTGAACTGCGTCTTTCAGCCATATCTTTTTTCCACAGAAATCGCATTGTGTTGAGCGATTGAAATGTGTACGGACAAATTTATGCTTTCGATTTGTTTCAGATTCAATGTTCAGTTTATTTTGAAAGGTCTGAGTAAACATTTTTGATTCCTTTTCTTGAATTTGATCATTATTCGTTTCTTGATTCCATGAAAATTCGATTGAAGCATCCCCATAGCATATACTAGAACAAAATCCCGACTGTGTGGATAACGGATGCTCAGAAATTTTTGGTATTTCGGGTGGATTCAACATAAATTTTTCAACGTAATTTAAATTGCTTTCGCTACACTCTGCAAGTACGTTGTCAACAGGAATGTTTATAAAACCCAATAATAGAGAGTCTTGACTTGATGTCCGTCCAAATACACTGACATTAAGATACAGACAAGATGGATTTAAAATGAATGAAGTTGAATCGTTGAAATAAACAAAATTAGAGATTTCTTTTTCGAGGGTTATGTGTTGCTGAAAATTGCAACTAGTTCCGAAGGATTCAAAATATAAATTCTGTTTCTTTGGTGAACCATAATTGCTTGAAACTCTTGAAGAAGTCTTCTTTGGCGAACTCAATGGAGTAGTTGAAACATTCGTCTCGGCTGTTATTGTACCTTCTTCTTTAGATTCATTACCAATCTGAACAGCATCCAAATTTTTCGAGAAAGTTATGTTCATATTATTAAAATCTTCATAAACATCTTCCATATCTTCTATAATCGCATCATTTTTTATAAATCCTGCGACAACTCGTTCCAAACGGAAACAAATGATGGATTTGTTAAGACTCTTTAAAAACTTCGCTACCTGATTAATATGATTAAATTTACGACCTTCAATTGAGATCAGTATGTCACCTCTCTTTATTTCAGCTACAGCTGCAGGTGTATTTGGCAATATGTTCTCGATGACGACTTGAAGTTCAGTTTGCTTAAAAATTATCCCAATTTGCTGATTCTTGGCTTTATGAACATCAATATCAAGAGATATTACTAAACTCTCTTCGTTTACTTGTTGAAGAGTTATAAAACTATAAGGTGATAAAGTTAATGTTACATAACTGTGGGTGACATTGCTGGGGTGGCTTAATCGGGTAAGCTTTAAAAGAGTAATTTCAAAACGTCCGGTTACTTCCATTGGCAAATCAATTTCATCATAAATCAGTCTGTTAAAGAATGGTTTAAAACGCAATTTATAATTTGGCAATGTGTGCTTTCGTCTTATTGCTTTCTTAACAGCACTTGAAATCAAACTTGTTATATGTGGCTGCATTTGCCGGCCTTGAATCTTTGATTCGATTTCAAGCTCAACAAGAGGCTCGTGAATGAAGCTGATAGACCAGTGTGTAAACGGTTGTCTTGTAAATTGGAGTCTTGCTTTACCACTCAGTTGCTTCACTAAAATTTGAAGATTCAATTAAATAATATTACTCACTTATTTAGAATGTATACCGTTCACGATGAAACTTCATTCTTTCAAAAAAAAAAATTCTCGTGAAGCGCATATTTAATCATGTATACCTTTCATTGACAGGCTGCCTTTTTTCCCTAGCACCATATCAGCATCAATTTTTAATTGAAAATCTCCTCTGTACTGTATGTTCATTAAAATATCTAATTTTTCAATAAAACCTTCCTCTGGATGCAGTTCAGCTTTTGATAATTTTAAATTTTGTATTTCTGGAAATTGGTTTCCAAGATCTAGTCCACTGATCTACAAAAATAAGATTAGATTTTATGTTGCATAAATGTATTAAATAGCACTAAAAATAACTGATTTCCATCAATCATTACCGAAAGTTTTGAAAAAAACTTTCCAATCGTTGTTTTAGTTAAGAGTTCATCTAATTCCATAGAGAGCTTCCTCAAGAACCATTTTCGAACCAGATTTGATGATCTGCGATAAAAATAATCTTTGATAAGATAAAACTTTTTCCTTAAGAAAGTTTAAGATTGATTACCTTAATTCGAAGAACAAAAATTGAAGAACTAAATTGACACTTTTGATTTCAGTTTTACTGTCATCAGTGAGTGATGAAAAACTTTCAAGAAGGCTCTGAGGTAAATATATAATAATTTAGTGAAATTAACATAATTTTTGATTTTTCATGTTTTTTACTTGTGGTAAATTAAATTTTGTTATTTTAGTCCCATCACATGGATCTTGAGCAGGTTGCTCTTCATTGTTATTAGTCTTAAAAAATCGAACAAAGATGTAATACTGAAAAGAAAACTTATTATTAATAATTACCTATTATACTTATGTTCTTGGGTTAGACTTTGAATAAGCAAAGCAATGTTTCTTTTATTATGCTGTTTTGGAGAGTGTTATTAATGTATATTTGTGATTTATACGTCTGATATTTGAACAATGATTATCACATATGATTATTTACCTGAACAATAAGCATTATAACTGCTCCAACAACCAAAGAGATCAGACAAAATAAAAACAAATTTGTTATTTCCAAGTACATTTTGAAGTTTCAGATAAATTTGTTATGTGGCATTATTCTTGCTGTAAATATTGTAGCTATACTTAAGCTTATGAGCGAATTTGAAACTTTAACCACTCAATGAGATATAAATGGATGTCTTCGAATACTTTTATTAACTTAATTTCACTTATGTTAATATCAAAATCTAAAAAATTAACTTAGTATAAAAATCAATAAGAGACGTCCAGAGTGTGCGCGAACAATGACTGAACAAGAGACAATAACATACATCAGGGGGTATATCATCGAAAAGAATAAGGCTGCAAAAGCACAAATTGTGCCAAAACGCATTAGAGGTACCAGAAGCAAATTCCAAGAAAAACTTATCAAATTCATGGAAAAAGAACATGTTTTTGGAAAAGCACCAATGTTATCAGAAACACAATTTAGAGGCACCTAGCAGAGTCACTATGATGAATTACCCCTTGAAAACATGCTATAATTCTCTCATTCTCTCTTCGATTCTCTCTTTCCACCAAGGGGTAGATCACAAAAAAACTGGTTGTAACTAATTCGAGAGAAGCCTTAAGGTCAATTACTTTATTTCAAATTCTTCTAATTGTCTACGCTTATTTCCTCAATATTTGAAAAGTCAAAGTGTGAATTTTTATCTGAAAGAAAAATACAAATATTGAACAAACTTTGTTTTTGGTGCCCATTCATAATAATGAGCACAGTGCAGCAAAAAATGACTGTCAGTACCAATCCCTCAAAAAATCTTAAACTGATATGTTCTCAGAAAATAAAGTAGGCTTTTCTAGAGAGTTTTGAGCTTTGAATAATAAAAAATAGCGGAGAAAATTAAGCTTGAAACTTTCTAGAGAGAGTCCTTCTTCCGTATTTTAAATTAAAAACTTTATATTTATCATCCATAAAAATAAATATACTCAATAAAATAACGCGTTTTATTTTTTATTCATTGAGATAGCGAAAATTTTAATTGGTATGGTCATTGACATCTCTAGAATCTAAAAGTTATTAAAGTTTCAAATTTGAAGGAAATTTTCAATTGATACATATCTACTTATCTATAAAAACTATAAAAAAAATCTTCCATTTTGGAAGTTTTGTAATAAAAGATTATACAATTAGGTATGTAAATTTTTAGGCAATTCCTTGCCCAGTTAGTTTTCACGTTCGGAATTATGAATTCGACGAAGAAATTAATTAAATCACCAAATCAAATTTAAATCAAAATTATGGTGTTAAAAAAACGCTGCCTAAATTTTTAAACCAACATTACAGAGGATTTTCTTAACTTTTTATGAATCGTATAAATGCAATCGGTGCTCTTGAGGAGCCAATTCTCAATAACGAATAAACAGGATAGGCGAATGGTTTCGCTCAGTGTGCACGCTTAAATAACAAGAAAGGTCTGAACAATTCATAGAAATTTAGTACAATTTGGTCGCTGATTTGGTTTGATTCAAAAATTACTGATTTGAGATTTTAATGAATATTATTTTGTTTTCAAAATCTTATGTAACTTAGCATAAAATTATGCGGTTAATGATTGGTTTATATTTTTCAAATAACAAAAGACACGAAATGTAAAGCATAGTATAAACTGGCACTTAAAAAGAGATTTTAATGTTTATTATTTAGTGGTACTGTAAAGTTCTACTTTCAACTCTGCATATTAACTATAGTTAGCAATGGCGAAAGAGTATGATAAATCTTTGAAATTAAAATATAAAACAAGCATATATTTATAATCAATACTTTTGCATAATTTTAATTGGTTTATTGATGTGATTGCAAAGAATTTACAAATTTTTTATGTATTCGATTTCACGTGAATATATTTTTATATTTCAATAGTGTATTATTCCCTTTTTTAATTTGAAATTTATTGAACTAAATCGAATATTTTTAGATCAACTTCAGAATCACAGCTCAACTGGTGACAATTTCTCTGAAAACAAACTGAAAACTAATATTCCAAAGAATAAGTTTCACCCATTTTTCTATACAGTAATTATATATTTTCTTTTACATTGTGTTGTTAATAAATGTAAAACAAAATCACGTCGTGGAAATATCTTATTTCACGTCGTGACTTTGCTATATAGAAAGATACTTATGAAGATATTAAAATAAGAAGTTAAATTTTGTTTCATTGTTAGGGTAACAAAAAATTTGCTAAGCATCTATGCATATCACCAGTTAAAAATCAAAGATAGAAATCGTTTGATTCTTTTTTAAAAATACAATTTTAACTATTTAGGTTAATCATTATTATATTTTATAAAATACGAATCTTTTTTTATTCTTTTTGTTTAAAAGGGTTTTTCTAACTCAATGAATATTTTTAATTTCAATAAAATAACGTAAAGTTAACTGTTTAAGCAATAAATTAATTGTCACTAGAAGTTTATTCAGAAAAACTAAATTGAAATTAAAAACGCTATAATTTTCAGTTTAAGAATCTAACTTACAGCAAACAAAACAGCAAACGACCTTTTTTTTATTTAAATTGTGAAAGTTCATATGAATGAGAAAAAATGTTTTAGAGAGAAAATGTTTTATCAAAAATTTTGTATTTAATTGGGATTTTATTCTCTTATACGTACGTTATCTTAATCATCTTTCATTGTTTTAGAAATTTTTCGAATCTTTATCATTTTATCGGTTGATCGTTTAATTTCATAATTCTATGTAGAAACATTTGTCTTTCAAGCTTCGTGTATCGTTTTACATGTTGAACTTTCTTAATGTATGTATGTAGAATAATGTTGTAAATTAAATAAAGCTAAGTATTTTTTTTTGCAAAGCTGTAAATCTATTTTATCTTGAGGAAATGTGAACTATTTGAGAGGTACACACAATTTTCGCTAGTAAAAAGTTTCATTATTAATTTACTTTATATATTTCGATCTGCTTTATCTAGCTTATATTTCGAACTGGGTTTTAAAAAGTTTCTTTTTTATTCCAGCTACAATTTTTTCATCGCCGTATTAAATGTTTTTGAAAAACATCTATTTATTATAATTAATTATTCAATTCAGGACGAGTAAGGACCTTACGAAAACATCATTTACACTATTAATTTTCATTATTTTAATGTAGCCTCATATTTTTTGCATTACCTTTCTTCTAGTTAGATATTTTCTTGTTATTCACTATATAAACTCTTATTCTTGGTTTTTAATGTTTGACACTTTTAGATATCTAAACCCAAATTTGATCTTTAATTTCTGTTTGTTTGTTTGAGTTTTGCTAGCACCAGTCCTCTTCATCAGAATCTGAGTGTCGTGCATGAAGTCCTTTTGACTTATAGCCACCATTGAGAATCGGTGACCCAAGAATTCGGCCTGTACGTCCCATTGTCAATGCTTGTTCATATGATAACGGTACTGAATGTTCCATTCTTAAGAAATAAATCATTTGGAAATGTTTAATGAATGAAAATATATTTTAAATAAATAAATACCTTTCATACTCTCGTTCATGCTCACGTTCGAGTTCACGCTCCCGCTCATATGCTTCTCTTTCTCGATCACGGAATTCATAGCGGTGACTATAATCACGATATCTATCTCTTCCTCTAAAATACATATCACGATGATCACCATGAAGAAATTCTCTAGAGTGTGGTAAAGATTGAACACTATGGGGTGTATTGTGAGCTGAATGCAACTATAAAATTGAAAATAAATGGTTAATAATTAAATATCAACGAAAATACTACTTATTTGGAGTAGAATCACAACGTACTGTTAAATTTTAGTAAACTATTATTTAAAATTTGTAACTGTTAGTCGCTTTAAATTATATTTCTTGTGAGCCTACCCTTGAATGCCATAAGTACTTACACGCGTTGGACTTGCATTTAATTTGGGAAAGTTTATATTTGTCGATTGAAGTTTTAATGTTGATGGCTTATTTGGTGTTGGTGGTAGACGTCTTCCTTGACCGCCGCGACGAGTCATTAAAACTGGATAGCTATGTTGACTTACATGTCCTGGATGACCTAAAATTGTAAATTTTGAAAAGTTGTCAGTAAAAATTTCATTGAAAAATTCTTGAAATAATGGTGTCATGAATGTAACATTAAAAATATACAATCTACAATCTTAGTGAATGCAAATCAAAAGCATCATGCTCATATAAAAATTGCTTTATAATTATTGATTTTGTACCAGATAAATAGATATGTCATGAAAGATAAGATATATATCCAATGAATATGAATAAAAAAAATGTGTGTAAGAATAAAAATAAATGAATGTGTACCCATTTCATTTCTATAATAACGATTCCTGTCATGCATCTCTTGTACTCTAGCTGGACTTGGCGATCGAGATCTTTGCATTAAACTAGTAGTACCATATCCTTTATAGAAAAGTTGATTTTGTCGAATATTCCTTTGATGTGAAGAACTATGAATACCATTCGTGTAACGTGAACGTGGCGAAGATGGGGAACGAGCAGGACTCGTTGATGCTGACCAAGAACCTACGATATATTTAGAAGATATTTGTTTTTCATTTTTATGACACAGACAAATTTTCTTATGCGAATATTAACTATTTGAAATTTTATTTTTTAATAAGAATAAAACGACCTAACTTAAACAAATTTTCATAAAATACATTGATTTTTAATGAAATTCGTTGATTAATTAAATCGATGCTTAAGATACAATTACGAAGATCATTTTGCTTTGAATTGAAAAGTGATTAAATATTTTTTCTCTTTTTCACTCTGTTTTTAATTGTTCTGGATTTTTAAATTAGTTTTCGAAATACAAATATGTACTTTATTGGGTATTTCATATTCATAAATTGATGTAATATTTACATAACTGATTTATTTTCTATATTTTATATTAACTATAAGTTTCCTTGTGTTTATAACCCAATATTTTATGGAAACACATTTAAGAAACTTTATGAAAGTCCAAATGAATTTTCGACTTTCATAGAACACTTTTAATAGTCACGATGACGATGAAGTCTTTTAAGAAAGATTTAAAATAATTCATTTTTAAAGAGAATTTGAACGAATTTAAGATTTTTTTATTCAGTTATGGACGAAATTTTTTTTAAGAAGATGCAGCATATTCTGTATCCAATTCAATCACCTATTTTATGTTTTTTTTTGTATGCAATGAAATTCATGATCTTTAATAGAAAAGCTGTGCCTATGGTTAATAAATGAATTACTTTATTGCTTAAATTATTTATACTTTATAGAAATATGTATTCATGGAAGAATACGACAAAAATCCAGTTCAATTGAATAGTAAAATGAAAAATCTATCGTAAACTTAAATAAAACCATAATAAACTGGTCGGAATTAGTGAAATAGGATACTATAAAAGCTTTCAAAAACAATATTAACATACGGACGTCCTACATTTGCTTATAGCGCAAATATAAATTCCAGAAAAATCCAAATAATACAAAACAAATGTTTAAGAATGGTTCCTAATGCAAGAATCAGAACGGGAATATGTTATCTTCATAAGAAAACTAATATTTCAAAATAAAAGAATTCATTTATACATATATAGCGAAAGAAAAAATCTACAATAAAAACGCGGAGTTCGAAAATTCCTTTATCAAAAAGCTGGGTATTTACAACCCGGGTACATACCGTACCCATAAACTGATAAAACCTTTGGGAATATAAAAATGTTTAACTTAAAATTTTGATCTTTCATAAAAATATCTAATTTTTGATTATCAGTGTTTCCATAAATTTTCCAGATTTTCATACTTTTTTTCAATTACAAAAATTCAAGTATCCTAAAAAAACTAAGTTAAATTTAAAATTCAAATTTAAATCACATTTTAAGTCTAAAACTTTAGAAAGGCTGGTGCTTAATGTAAAACATCATTCCCAACTGTGTGCAAGTTAAGAAAATTATTTGAATCGTAAATCCATTTCAATTTTTCAACAAAAAACTAAAGCAATTATTTATTATATCTACATACATAAATGTTTATTGAATTTCAAAGTTAGATATTTTCAAATTAGCAAATCAAATTTTTAATTTTTTATATAAGTGCCCTGTTTTAAAAATTAATACCATGATATCAAATGGAACAACAAATTTCATCAATAACAGGTTTTTAACAAAAAGTATTTGTAATTAAAATTAAAAAATGAATAAATAGAAAACTAAGTTTAGATCGTTTCATCCGAATTTTTTCTAATCAATATCAATATTCAAGTCAATTTTGGGCAATTACAACGAAATTATTCCGACTTTTTATCAAATACCTTCTAAATTACAAATATCCCCCGTTTAATTAGTTATTCTGGTTTTTATGCGAGTATGGATTTTATTTAAAATGAAGTCTTCTTAAAAATAGAAATTGATGTGTTGAGTACGTAGAAAAATTTGTTTGTAAATCTCATTTCCCATTAAAACGGCTGTAAAAGGATTTATTATGCATCCCAATGAAAGACTTTTTTTACTTTTTATACATAAGTATTATCTAAATAATTCAATGAAGTTTTGGAAAGTTTTCCGTTTTATTCTCGAAGAAATTTTTATTGAGACTAAAATGCTTTGCGTGTTTATTTTTTCTAATCAAATTAGTCAGTAAGTTTTAATATAATTCCAAAAATGTCGATAACGATTAAATGTGATTTTTGCTTAATGATTAAAATGAGATTTTAAGGCTTTTGTATTGTGCGAAATAAATAAAAAGTGAGTCCAACGAATATTCAAAATCAATGATGCTGAACATAAGGTACAAACATTTTTTCTTTCTATTTCAGAGTGAGAACCATTTGATTGCAAATACTACTTATAAATTTTTCAATTAGAAAAGATAATACAATCTGTAAACAACAAAACTGATGAATAGAAGATATATAACTAAATATAAATAAATAAACCAATATGAACATATTTTAACTTAAATTATCGTTTTAAAATTTAAATTAATTCATACATTATAAATTGAAAGTTTAACAGAAAAGAATAGGAAAATTCTTGAATATTTCGATTTGTTGGGCTGTGGCTCTTACTACTAAGCTATGGAGATACTCGACACATGATAAATATTTATAATTCAAATATGTCTGATTAAAATGTAACGGAATGTCAAGACCTCTACTCATATCACATATGTTTTTTAAAATTTTGGATTAAAAAAAAATAGTACAGGAATGGGAATGATTATGTAAAATAAAGTTAAAAGTTAATCATATTAGACAGAGACAAGTTCCAATCTAAATAAATGTTAAAAATATAGATTCTCAAAAATTAATACACCATAATCTTGAAAATATGAATACTCTAGCACAATATCGCTCGATAGTACGAAATGTTTTGTTTCCCTTCAATTGTATTTACGTTATTTTTTCTTTGCATAGACGATTTTTTTCGATAGTATGCGATCCCTTCAAAATCGTACTATCAAGATTAAACTGTGTTTGGATTTTATCTTAAAGATAAGTACCACGAGATTGAAGAAAATTTCTTCAGATAGAAATTACTTTTATTATCATCTCAGGCGAGAAATTGGATTATGCCAACGACAAAGACAGCCTCTCACAGAGTTTCATTTAAAATGCGATAAACTCATTGTAACGACCACATTTCATGTGTTCCATTTTCGACATTATTCCTAGTCTTTGCTCCCTTTATATGAAAATCAATTTGATACAAAGGGATTTCAAAGCCGAGTTACTGCTTGAATGAAACACACGATATATGGTAAAAGTACTTAAGTAGATAATTATGATAACACCTCACCTATTGTGTCAACGTTTGATTTTGAAAATTACAAACACGGTTTTTTCGCTATTTTACCATTTTATAGTTCAAATTTTTTTAAGGGAAGCAGAGTAGATAGTCTACAGAACTTCTCTTAAAAGTTTTGAACTATAAAAAAGTGATATAAATAAAAATAATAATTAAAAAAGCTATTAGAATATTGTTAGCATGTTACTTGAAAACTATTTCGAAACACCTTATTTGCTGATTTAAATTTTCAATCAAATGGTTTCAAACTCGTTTTTAGTTTTTTTTTTAAATTTTGAGTTATATACATCATTATCTATATTTAATTTTATGCCATGTGAGGCTTTACATAGTCAACTGAGTTTTATAAAAGAACATAAAATACATCATGAAGCGAAAGAAAATTCATGTAGTTCCTACAGATTTGAATTTTCCTATGTATAGCATTCGAAAAACTCAAATTTCTGGACTTTGCAACACACAACATCGATTTGCGCAAAAATAAATGAATATATGATTTCTACCTCTATTATATTTATGGCCATGTCCATAAGGTCTACCTCTTCTGTGTTCCTCCTTTACGATTTCAACTACATTTGAAACCGTATCTGAAAATCCGATATCGTGATGTAAATGTCTTCTAGGGCTTGGTGTTCGTACTAATGCTGACTGGTCTCGTCTAGAGATAATAAAACAAGTATGAGCTATTAGAAAATTAATCAACAAGAAATTAAATAATCTATATTGCCTCAAACTGGGAGATCTCCTATGAATATTATATGATCTACCAGGGTGGAGGTGCCTATCACCAGTAAGAGATTCCATTGATGCATGTCTTGATGTATCACCATGTAAATCCTAAAGTGTTGAAATGAGCATTATGTGTTAAATTTGAAGATTAAAATGTATAATATAACGTTAGTTGAAGTCCATTAGATATTAGATTTTCAAAATTTAAGTTAAACTGTATATTAACAATATATTATTTTAACATATATACAGATTTTCATATATATTTTTTGCATTTATACTTTAATCAGTTTTTTAGCTTGTTTTTGTCCTATATTTACTCTTAGTTAGAAATAAGTAAAAATTATAAAAAAAATTTGCCTTCAAAGTAACATAGAATTGAAATCATAAAACTTTTCAATGGATTTATGAAACTTCGATGTTTAAATTCAAATCAAAGCTCATCGTGCTGTTCTATCGACGCTCTAAATTTAGAAAAATAGATTCAACTCTTTGAATGATGATATGTTATCCCTCGTCATTTTATAAATGTATAGGCTATAAATTAACTTTCAAATGACTGATTACATATATGTAATTATAAAATTTTTGCAGACAAACTTAAATAGATTCAATATTTTTCAAGTAAATAATTTAGAATATTTGTAGTATTTTCAGCAAACAAACATTAAATTTAAAATTAATTGTGATAAATTGAAACAATATAAGACGATATAGATATGAAACGTTGAAAAAATCTTTCTAAAATTTTAACCTTCAAGTTTTAAAAAAACTCATGCAACATGCATTGCAATTTTTAAAAAGTAGTGAATTAGAAATAAGATTTGTTTGAAAAAGATTTGTAAAGTAAAGCGTTCTCCAAAAATATTAAGTTGCAGTGGTCTCTTGATATAACGATGGCTGAAGAGAGAAAAAAAAATTCACCGTATTGATACAACTTGTATCGAATAAAAAAAAGGTACTAAAAAACTACTTCAAAACAGACTTAAATTTTTCATTGTCAATGAAATAGATTGTTTAATTAAAAATGTTTTTTGGGAAGTTTCACTTTTAAAGTTTTACATATTTTGCTACTGTACGTAATTTTTTTCAAATCATTTGCACTTTGCAGCATTAATTTAATTTCGTTCAAAACAAATTTTAATTTAAAAATTATTGACATCACTAAAGTATAGAACAATCGATAAATTTGAATAGGTTTTTAAAGTATTTTTAAATACCTCGAAATTCGAATTTTTCTGTTCATCGTTCTAACATCAAGTAAAGCTTTCTTATAACATTTCTACGTACTATCGAGAGAACATTGTTCCAGACTTCGAATGAGTGTGATTTAGCATCGTATTATCGAGAAAATCGCTGTATGAAGGTTGTATCAAGAGTCCACTGTACGAATTTTGACTATGTAATGCGCTTAAGTTCATATTTTCAGCATGCAAAACGTAATGAATGGAATTTTTAAATTGAATTCTTATATTATATATGATAATTTACATGGCTATGAAAAATCTATTATGTAAAAGTATAATCTATTGCAGTTTTTAAATTTAATTTTTTTAATGAAATAGGTAGTAGTGAAATGCTTCTATTCTAAATTATCTTCATTAATTCTTTTGTTTTAGTATTCGTACCTACTTACCGTTTTCCTAAAATATATATTTTATTTTTTATCTGATAAAATTCCTATATTTTTTTTGTAGATGTATCGGAATAAAGAAATGTCTTCTAATTGTTAATTCATTGATAAAAATTAATCTAGATCTGTATAAATATTGAACGTTTTTGTAAATTTACATTCTAATTGTAGGTAACTTAAATATCTAAAATATCACTCCATTTTAAATATGGTTAGTGAATGTACTCCTAAATTTGAGAAAATTCTTGAATTAAGAGACTAGGCTACGCGACTATAGCCATGGCTACTTCTAGGAGTTAGCTAATATTATGCTATATATATGTATAAAATTTTTCATGAACCAAATAAGTGCCGATCAATTGTTTAATTGGTGATTTACAATTGGTAATGCAACTAATTGGATCCTTGTAAATATAATTGAGTTTACTTTCAAATCAATAGATGGAAAAATATCACGGTTACTTTAGATACTTTGAATGAGATGTTGTGAAACACCAATTAAAGAAAATTTGTCTCGGCAATTTATATACAATTATTCATCATCTATAATTATTAATTCTAATAGTTTTATTCTTTTCACTTATAACTAGAGAATATTTGTAAGATTATAAAAACATAAACCGTTCAATAACGAAGTTAACAATAATATTTGAAATGGAAATCATTAATATTTGTTGGTATTAACTTATCGCGATTTTCAATGACATCACCTTTTTATTGCTCCTGAAAAAAAAAGATGATGTATGGGTAAGTTATGGTATTTTTTTATAATCACATGGCAATTCTTTTGAACTTCACCTAAATTGAGTGAAATTTGAAACCTATTATTAATACAATATATTTTTATAAGCGAGACATAACATTTAGAATATAAACGAACAGAACAAGGACAACAATTTGAGAAATCAAGTAGAAAATTGAATAAATTGAAAAATCAATTAATGAACCTGGTGATTTTTTCGACTTTGAAGTCTATAACTTTTGTTCTGCTTTCAGGGTTCTTTATGATCATCTTATCAAAAATTGATTTATGTTACTCAACAGAAAAAATTATGAAACGTCAACTTTTGCTTTTCAAGAATCAGACATGACTTATTAATTGTGGCCATATTAAAATCGAATTTGGTAATATTGATCGATCCAGTTTTCATATACTTTAGACCTTTAAATTTATAATCATAATTTTTTTTTTTGGAAAATTGACTTTGAAAATTCATGAAATTGGAATCAATATGGAATCATTCATATAAATTAGATAATAAATAATCTATTATTAAATTCTGTAGAATTTACTCAATTCTATAAATTATTTCCTATTTTTTAATTACATCTAAAAGAGTGAAATTAAATTCAATTAAATGCCCAGTGAGTAGCCAAAGACGAAGCATATTGAATAAACTTCCAAATAATATTTGTTTCTTGTTGCAAAGTAAATTGTAAGGGTTGAATTATGTATATTTAAACAAGTGGCCATAAATAATTTGCGCCACAATTGATCTATGGCTAAATTCGATTTTTTACAATTTTATCTATATCACAGATTATTTATATCACTTAATATGATATTTAAAAAAAAATTAATAAAACGTTTCAAGTTTCATATCAAATTTAGAAAGTGAAGCTTAGAAAACTGCCCTTAATGTATATATTTATAGACTATTGAAAGTGAGCTTATAACTTTCTTAAAATTTAAAAATTTATCTTCAGACTATATTTTTTTTTTAAATCTATCTTCGTCATTAACTATTGTTGATTTTTATTGCTGTATCTTTCAAAATAATCTTGTTTTAAGGAAATAAGCACACTTCTTTTTTTTTCCTAAAGGAGCTTTTACCTGAAAGATCGCTTTTTCATTGTGGTGCGTCTTGCCAAACTTGCCAAACTAGTATGATCTAATTCACCATTTTGATGATGATTGAATAGAAGGTGCGTTTGTGAGCTGACATTTTCATTTTCTAAGCTTAATGAACCAGCGCGTGATCCTGTTTTTTCTAATGCTGCCATGTCTAATATGGTTGTGAACAGTGATGGTTTCTGTGTATGTATCGTAAGTGATCAAATTGAATATGCAATGAAAAGAATTCATGTTTCTTCCACATTTTTATGGTTGGTCAGATCTTGCTTTTAAAAATTTCTTTTTTCACCTTTTTTAAACTATTTTAATACTATATACAGAATATAAGCATAGTCGATCTATTTATTCTCAACAACGAAATGAAAACATGAACAAACATGAAATGACAACGTGCATTTATAAATAGAACGTATGAGAAAACATGCAACTAGTGATTCTTTATTTGTGCTTTAAGAAGCATTTAAATCTTGAGGAAGCAATGAAAATCTAAATACTTAGGGCGAATAGCATTAAATTCGCAGCTTTCTGAGCATGAATTTACTAACAAAACATAAAAATTTGATTGAGGAGAGAAAATCAAAGTTCATGAGAAATGTTAAATTTTATCCCGACAAGCCCAGAAAGCATAGAAATTAAGTTTGATAAAGTGCTTCACATTTGACAACGATTTTAAGGCATGTTGACTTTGGCTATTCGCCCTAATTTTTGTTATTTCATTTTTACTAAAATCAAATTAAAGTTTCATGGAAACGAAAATAAACACTTGTGAAAGAGTTTAATATAGGACAATATGATATTTCTATTCTCAAACATATGTGTATAAACATTTTTATCAAACGTTTTACAAATCACAACACTATGTAGGATTCTAATTTCCATGTTTTAGTGCAAATTAAAAAATCTGTTATATGTTAACATTAAAACATTTTTCTTCCCCTATTTAATAATTTTTCATCTATTTTAAATCCAATTTAGAATTAAGACATCATATAATATTTATTGTGTGTTTCATACGTAAATTAAGTATTTTCAATTTTAAGCGCTGGAAAATAATATCTAAACAGTTAACATGAAACAAAAAATTGAAAAAATATTTGACTGTCGAACAACATTTTTATGATCTGTTATATAATCTTGAATATGTATAAATATATGTTTCTGTAAAATTTTAATCGAATCTATGTAGGGTATAAATTAGAAATTTTATGCTATTGAAACCAGAAAGGTTGGACGAACCACAAAATCTTATCAAATTTTATAAGTATCCACCCTTTCCAGTTTCTTTTTCTATTCACAAAACTTTAAATGCTGCCTGCGCATAGGTAATATGAATACAGACTTAAGTCGCAAAGTACCTTAAAACCCAGATAAAATATTCTACATAACACAGGAAATTTTGCTTTATACTGATAATATGCTTAAATTATAAGCACATTGAATATTTAAAAATAAAAACTGCAAAAAAATATGACGCTCTTTGAATTACGTAATAAAATCTTCACTTCTTTTTCAGATCTAGTGTGAACTTCTTCACATATTATTTGTTCAATAGTGAATTTATTCACTCCACATATTAAAGCAATCCTAAACACTCACATAAAAGTTATTTTGAAGTCACATTCGCTTCTTCACTGCAAATATTTTAAGGAAATAGCTAAAGCTCGGACAAATAAAAATATGCACTCTGTTTCGGAAGAGAGAAAAATGGCTTTACCTCACATGATCCTCTAGTTTATCACATCAACTAACTTTCATTAAGGTACGATTCAGTTTCAGATTTTAAATAAATGTCAAGTCTATTTATTCTAGACAGATATTAGCAAGCCACGTAATTTTTTATTTCGCAGAAAACCCCTTAAAATTCATAGTTTGTTGATAATTTTTTTAAAAAAATATCGAAAATATATCTGAGAATCAGAGAATATTCACTAGGGTTCAAATGCTACATATTTTTGCTGTAAGCTATTTTTATCAATAAGTATCTAAGTAAAATGTTTGATTATGTTTTAAAATTCATTAAGTCCAAATCTTAAACATTATAGACTAAAGAGCAGTGAAGTTTCCTCGTTTTAATTCCGACATTTTTATATAAAAAAAAATAATAAAACGAATATTATAGCAACAAACATTTTGTTAACACTAACCTAATTTTTGTAAAACTTTAAATTAATTTATTAATATTCCCAATTATCTATAGGGTACTACTTTATATTTACTTGTGGATAGATCTGACTTTCTATGCTCTTAGCTTAAGAGTTATGGTGATCATTTATATTTGTATGATTTAAATATTGCGAAAAGTTTTACCAAATACATATATTTCTGTCTCAAATTTATTTATTTCACTATTTCATGCAAATTTTATTGAGAAAACAATAAAAATATATGTATTTGTAGTTAAGGATGGTTTTGTCATTAAGACACAATATATAAAGCTTTTTTTTTTGGGCAAACAAAAATACCGAAAACAGATAATTTTATTCAGTTATTCAGCTGATTTCCTTTCATTTAAAATTTGAAAAGAAACCTGTAATCAGTATAAAATTATGATACTCACCGCTGCGTCAGTCTCTAATTGGCCAAACTTGGTATTTCTCCACGATTCCAAGATTAAAAGGCCTGCATATATTTTACCAACACTTAATTTACCAGCGTTTAACTCTCCACTTTTTGGCACGAGAAGATCTATCATCTTCTTTGCTTGTAAAGGCCAAATGTGTGTAATAGTTTCTCTAAGTTCTAAGTCTGCTTGGTCCATTTCTTCCGCTTTAAAAAGAGAAGCATTTTAAATTTTTCAAAATAGGAGCAGCATGTTCTTTGCTGCTTACCAGTTCTCATTTTTATGCTTAGATTTTCACGAATTAATGCAAACAAGGTAGTCGTGAAATTCACTTTACCGTCTGCATCCATGGGCATGTTCATTCTAATCAGTTTTTTATAGGCAAGCCGATTCGGACATTTGTTACCAAATCCTAGGGGAGGATCCATATTTTTTAACATATCATACATTTCGGTGTAGTGGATCTTGCCGCTGAAAACAAAAATGTCAATGAGTTTATGAAAAAAACAACATTAAATAAGTTTTTATACTTACGTCGCATTTGGATCATACTCGGCCCATATTCTAACAAACTCATCTAGATGATGAGCTCCTAATATACTAGAATCTCTTGTTAAATAGTCAAAATTGTCCATAATAACAGCAACGAATAAGTTCAACATCTGAATGTAATACATAAGGTAAATATTCTAAATAATATTCATAGCATAATACAAACTTACCAAAAATGAACAAAAGAAGATGAATGATACGAAATATGCGTACGCAAGTGAAGATCCACATGAATCACCATCTTTTTTTGCATTCGGATCACATGGTTTACCCCTAAGACATGCTAGCATAATGTTCGGCCACGACTCGCCTGTAGCACACCTATAGGAAATCATAAAAATATTAAAGAAAAAATACATGAACAAATTTTCAAGTTAACTTTTATATTTTTTTTAAATAGATACAATAGTGATATAGCATTTAAATTTGGAAGTAATTTACTGTTTAACATTTTGTTCTAAATTATCTTTCAAAACACATAAGCACATCATGGTACGAAGATATAACTCTAATTATTCTGCTCTGCATGCTTAAGAAAATATCTAAGATTTATAACTAAAAAGTATAATTGTTATTATCATTAACTAATATCATTAAATGATTTTGTTTTGATTGAACTTAAGAACGTCTCTGAGAATTGAAAGACAATTTAATTTCCAGTGTCACATATTAGTATCATATTAGTTGAGAGATGTTGAATGCTTTAAAGATTTCAATACTCAAAATCATTGAGTTTTTCTTCATGAATGAATGTGGTTTTACAAAATAGTGACATATAACCTTACCTGAATAGTAACATTAACCCTTGCACGAAAGTGCGGAAGTTATTATGACGAGTTAAGCCACCACCAGCTTCGAGAGCTATATTTCCAAAAACCTACATTATCAAAGTTTAAGAGGGACAAAATATCACGAAAAATACGATAACAAATATTTTTAGTTTTAGTTATTAGCATAAATTCTTAGGTAATAAAAATTACTTAATAATATTAACATAAAACAACAATGAGCTATAAAATTATAAGAGATGAATGCTACATAAATAAACCTAATTAATTCACAATTCTTTTCAATAGATAAGTGTGAAGAGCATATCTTGCCTATCTTTTAGTATAAGAAAAATGCTAGCTAACCAAAACCTAAATGTTTAGTAAAGCAGCGGAAGCAGTTTTCCCCGCTGAACTACAGTTTTGAGGTTGCTAAATTTTGTTTTCAAAATTTTCCTTGTATTTTTCTAAACCTACAATCAATTCTGTTTATCTGACATTTTTTATTTAATATTCTACAGAAATCAAACGTAGTTTAAAAACACGTTAACGCAGAAAAGTATTCTATTTAAGCTTTCTTTTATTCAGGTTCTAGCTAGGAATTCTACATAGCCAATTATTTCATTCATTGTTTACCGAAAAAGAAGAAGAAGAGATCCGAAAAACGTTTGGAAGTTATTATGACGATTTATTGCTGTATCTGGATCAAATTTCGTATTTCCGAATACCTTGTTGATTTTTTAAAAATGATATGTCAGTGATATGCGTTTTATTGCATAAAATGCAGTCGTAAAATGATTAAATAATCATACAAATAGGTAATTAATATTGTAAAAGTTTCAAAATGTGAAATAAAAATTGTGAGACACTAAAATGTTTAGAAAACACCTTATTCTTTTAAATTTTAAAATATATCAAATATTTAATTTTCTTACCTGCATTCCAATTATAGCGTAAATAAAAAATAACATTGCTATCAATAAGCAGACATATGGCAGCGCTTTGAATGATTGAACAAAAGTCCATAGTAGAATTCTGATTGTGTATCCTTGTCGTAGAAGTTTAATCAAGCGTGCAGCTCGAAAGAGCCTCAAAAAGCCAACATTAAATGAGTTTTCTTGCTAAAATTTATAGACGATAACATTTCAAAATTAAGTAATATAGTTTTATAGAAAATTACTCACACCAAGTTCTAAAACGAGAGCGTCGATGATGCTTCCAATTACTGTTATAAAATCGAAAACATTCCAAGGATCTTTGAAAAAGTTCTGATGAAGGTGAAAACGAGATTGATACGTAATAATATAAAAAATATTGATTAAGGATTTCTTCCAAATTTTAAAATAGAACAGTAACTTTAAAGTTTCAAAAAATTTTCTTTGTATACAGGTATTTGAATCTATTTTCAAATTGACATTTTTTAAAATGATTAATTTTAATCAACTGTATAATTAGTGTATAATTACTGTATAATTAATATTGCAGTAAAATTTTTTGAAACTCAGGAATGGATATTCTAGTATAGTAATGAATCATCATCAGTCATCCATTCTGAAAGTGTTGAAAGGCAATTGAAACCAATTTTTAATTAATTGAAACCATAATTATATAACAAAAATAAATAAAATACATAAAACAAAACAAAATCTGTATTCAGAAATTATTTTTCAATAAAATTCAACCTAATCATAAGAAATTATTTATATAAATATGTTTAACTTTTTCACTAAGATAAGATATGCCAAAATCGTAATACCCCAAAATTGTAGATAAATTAGTACTACTAATTATTTCGAACTTAATTTTTAGCGCTCTCTGGGCCTTCCTGCGCAAAATTAAGTTCAAAATCAATGGCATTTTAATTTAGCTACAATTTCGGGGTAGTACACATTTGGAAAAATACCCTACTTGTTATTTCTAGCGCAAATACAGGAATCAAGAGGAACGAATCTGGGCTTAAAGTGAAGAAACTAATTTAATTCATATGAAATTCGAATGCGTGCTTTATGCCGAATTTAGGATTTTTTTTTGATTTGTGATAATTTGGAGAAATATAAGGAAGTCTTTTAGTTATCTGAACTATTAAGATTCTTTTTCTTTTCAAATGATTTTTATAAAAGTGTTAGTAATTATTTGAACTTCCTTACTTTCGATAAAAATAATTAAACATTTTAAGAACAAACTAGGTATTTTCTTATGTACATGGATATTGAACTAATATTTCTACAGAAAAATGAACCGTCTAAATATTTTATAAAATCTATTTTAGTACTTTCTATTATGTTGTCATGTATATGATCATTTTTAGCGAAAAGTTGCATTTATGAGAAAAACCAATGGTCAACTTAAAGCTCCTTGAAGCTTGCTACAGGATACATCTGCAATTTCGTAGTACTACAAAACATGGCTTTTGTGAAAGGTCAATTTTAGATGTATCCCGTAGCATGCTTAAATGAGCTTTAAGTTGAACGTTAGTTTCGCTCATAAATGCAACTGTTCACTGAAAATGCCCTTGTATTAAAATGTTTCCAAATAAATATAAATATGTTGTGATAAATCAGTTTAAGAAAAATGGATTTTGATCATAACAATTACTAGGCTATGCTAAAAATTGAACAGTCATTAAGAATGAGAATGTCCCCAGGTGATTGGGGATGACAACTGACGAGTTGAAACCTGAATTAGATGAAAACTCATTCAGTTTTTTTAAATGTCGTTAATCCAGTTCTTATGCGATTAAATCATTTAATTTTTTTCTTGCTATTTTAATTTTATAAGAATTCATCATATTTAATTTTCATCTTGTCAGTAATGATTCTCAATATCGCCAGATAAATGAGGTTTTCCGCATGAATTTTCTGCGTCTATATTGCAATTTAAAGAAATGAAAACTAAAGCGTATACAAAACGTTTGTCGAAATCTATCCTACTGAAGCATTCCGAAAAATGTAAAGAAAAATCAAAGCTTATATATGTGAAATGAAGTAAGGGTTAGTTTAGTGCTAGATGACCTGTAGAATAAAACCCTCAAAGAATTCAAAGAAACATATGTCTGACAATATATAAATATTCAACCCAATTTTCAAGGTTGTAAAAAACGCTTAAATATTCTATAATTCAAACCCTATATTTGCTCGTTTCAAACATAACTAAATTTTCTTCAAGCATGTTCCAAAACCGTTTAAATTTCACCTTATTATTTCTAATCATAATGATAACAAATGTTAAAGTTATTTTAATAAGTTGTCTTATTTAAAAAGTTCTCAAACTTTTTTGATAAATAATTTTTGTATCATCTTAAGGCTATTGTAAATACCAACCTTACATCCAAAGCCCATTAGCTTTAAAATCGTCTCCAGTAAAAAGAATGAAGTAAATACCAAATTCATGTAGGTCAAGATATCAATCAATAATGGCGGTGCATCATGGAACTATAAATTATTTGGGTAGACAAGTATTTCAGAATTTTTTAGTCTCATTATTAATTAGGAGAGGTGTATAGTTATAGATGTATATATATATAGTTCGCTATCTCTGTTTATATTAAATTTATATTGAATTTTATTCGTTTTATACGTCAATGTTTATTAACTTTTAGGAGACTAAAAGAAATTATCTGTTTAATTTATAAAGTTTCATAATAAATTATCAAAGACGTGAAATTGGCAAAAGTAAGTTTAAGGAGATGCGCAATATCTCGCCCATATAAGTTGCTGTTGGTTTTATGTATTTTTTTATCAAAATGAGATACTTGATGTGTTACAAAATGTTTAGAATTCTACCGCAATGATATATTCAAATATATTCATGCAAAAGCTAAATAGATATTGGAAAAATTTTAAAGAAAATCATTATCTATTGTCATGTTTGTGTAACTTAGTGTATGTAAAGTATAAAACAGTTAAAGTGCAATTCTAAAATCATGCTAGAGATGAAACCATAAATAAATATATTCGAGAAATGTGAAGAATAATGAATACATTCAAAGCGTTGTGAAAATTAATTTATCTACTTATTAACTACATATTTACAAAAAAACACCATGTTTATTTGAGTATTTCTTGATTTGAGCATTAGTTTAAAACCAAAATATTAATTATCAATATTTTCAAATAGCATCATTGTCTTTTAACACTTTCCCGAGTAGCACAACTGCTCCGTTTGTATACCTATAGTTTGTCTTCAACGGATTACATGAAGGCGAACATGTGGCGTTAATTATACGACTATATAGACACCTTATAGGAAACTTCCCATTAAGAGTTTCCTATAAGGTGCCTTTTCTGGAATTGCCGCTTGTGCAACTCGGGTTTGTTTTCATAACTTATTTTATTTTGTTCTTTTCTTATATTAGTAACAAAATATATATTTAATATTGAATGATGTGAAAACAAATGTTGCGACAGCTTTCAAAAAAAATAATTATAGGCGAATTTCAATTTAAAAAAAATAAAGAATAAAAAACATAAAAAAATAATAATGATACATAAATTAAATTATAACAGATTTTTCAGACTTTTTTCCACATTTTTAGGTCAAAAGGAATCCTTTTGAATAAAATATCCTAAATGTATATGCTTTTATCTATGTATTCATAAAAAATAAAGTAAGATTTATCATCTGTCCGTTAGAACTAACACCCACCTTTACACCAAATCCAATAATCTTTAGTATAGTCTCTACACTAAACATTCCAGTAAATCCCATGTTGAGATATTTCAGTGATTTTTCGTAATTTTTGCTTTGTTGATGATACTTTAGTTGGTTTTGTTGAATATCAGATTTAACATGATAGTGTTTTCACATTGGCGCAAAACGATTTTTAAATTAAACATAAATTTAATTTAATTAATTAAATATATTTAGAATAAGCATGTGAAAACTGTTAGAAAGGAAAAAGAAGGTTTCTTAATTCTTTAATGTTAAGCAGCAGTATGGGACAGAATTTTGAGGAGTTCATTTTTTTTTGTTTTCTACCAACAAAGTAGCAATCAAATAAGAAAGTAAAATTAATGAAGGAGTAGATATTTTATTAATATCTATAAAAACTGCAAACAGTATTAAAAAGTAGAAAAAAAAAATCAAAATTCCCTAAATTATATTTAACCAATTAATATCATAATCATGAGTCACAGAGCAGATATTGTATTCATTAATTATAAATTTTCTACTCTCTAAAAGTATCTTTTCAACATAAAATAAATAGCAAATGTGAAAAGTCTAAACAGATTTTAAAATATGTTGACAACATGCTGATAAATTAATGAAATTTTTGAAAAATTTCACTAAATACAGTTACAAGAAATGAAGCAGCGCGATGGGGGAGAATTCATGCATGTTACTTTAAAAATGCCTTCATTAGACATCTTCTGCTGACCAAAAAATTTTCAATTATGTCAAATTGCAAATCCACAGCAACATACTATGAAATAGCTGAGGAAGTTCTGTTTTATCGAATAAACTGAAAAAACACGTCTTTTTTCGAAATAAATTTTAAAAATGAATCTTTAACTAATTTTTCTTCAACAAAAATGCATGTAATTTGTATCAAGGCTTCGGACATTAGAATTAACATACTAAATATTTATTTGCTTTTTTCGTGAAATTTAGACTTGATTTCAAGACATTTTAAATTTTTATCTCGAAACTTGACATGTGTTTAGTATCTTAAAACATAACTTATTATTTAATTTAAGTATTCAATTATAAATCCTGGGTTTTTGTTCTGTTTAACCTTAAGATTTGACTTTCTAACATCTGAAATGCTAAATTTAATTTTAAACCGAAAGAAATAATAGAGTTGTAGGTATAGATTCGACCTCTTGACGTTTCAACATATGCAAATACCGTAAAGGACTTTGTAATTTTATTTTTTTCTTTCAAGATAATTGAATCTAAAACATAAACTTCTGGTGTCCCCATAATGATGATAGAAAAAAATTTATCCAAAATCTTATCTATGTTCAACATTTCTTTGTATTAAATATCTAGTTTCTCTAAAAAATCGTTAACTCAAATTTGAAGAACGTCTGTAAATTTAAAATATCGCGTTTAATTGATCTGGATCTACATGGAGTTCTCACATTTATAGAATAAAATTTCACAAAGAAGAAAAGCGCAGGATTTAGATTGAGATAAAAAAACACACACAAATAGAAGTTCCAAAAATGCAACATTTAAAAATCATTCCAGAATCTCATAAATAAAATATTTTCATTAAATGATCAAACATTCAAATAATTTCATCAATGTAAACATACATTGTCCGCATTCGACATAAAAGCTTGAAATAAAAAGACATATCTAACAGTTGGCGAGTAAAAGTAATTCATGCTTCTCTGTTTATAAATTTTTACAGATATTCTAAATTTTAGTAGCGCATACTGCTGTATTGTTTTCTTTTCAAGTAAAGTTTATTAAGTCGTAGTGTTTAAAACTTCTTATTTTTACTAAGTATTTCTTAAATACTTTTGAGATATATTTGGTAACACCATGTAAGTATGACCTGCTCACATGTGTACTTATTAAAAAATTTACTTTTTTTATTTTTAAGGTTTAAAAAATTGCTGTAAATATCAGTGAGAAAATGGCAAGATTGATTAAAATTTATATATTTACTTACTTTCATCATCAAAAGAAGGGTATTGAATACGATCAGCATCATGATGAAATATTCGAAAGGTGTCGATACTACAATTCGCCACACTTTGTATTTGAAGCTGTTTCTATCTTTTGGCATATACCTCTCCAATGGTCTTGCGCCGATTGTAAAATCTATACACGATTTCTTTGAAAGATCAAAAGATCCAGTCATTTATATGATTTCAAATGCTGGCAACTTTTATGTATACTTACTTGATTTTTATCTATTTCTCCATCCTGCAATTCTGCTTCGCCTTGTTCTTGAAATGTTATGATAATCAAGGCCACGAAAATGTTAACAAAGAAGAATGGAAAAACGACGAAATAGACAATGTAGAAAATGGACATTTCGATACGAAAGTTTTGAATTGGACCACGATTTTCGTAAGTAGCGGCCATTGAGTTTTGAAGTACCCTAAGAAAAAACATTATAAAGATTTTAAATTATAAAAGCATGTAGTTGAAATAGATAAAAAATCTTACTGTGGCCACCCTTCACCGGTCTGTACAGCAAATAATGTTAACATTGCGGTAGCGACATTGTCATAATGAAAATTTTGGTTGTCCCAAATGCGTTTTTCTTGCCTCGGAAGCATTTCTTCATTATCGAATATAAAGTATGATCCCCTGAAAGATATTAAAAACGAATAAGATATATGTGAGTGTGTATGAAAATATAAATTAAATTACTGGCAATCTTTTTCTGTATGTTTGCTTTCATCTGTACACCAAAAAAACTTCCCATTGAATAATTGAACAGCAATGACAGCGAAGATAAATTGAAAAAGTATGTACACAATAAGAATATTTATAACATTTTTTAAAGAGTTAACGACACAATCGAACACTGCCTTTAACTTTGGAACACGTTTGATAGTTTTGAGGGGTCGTAGAACTCGAAGAACACGTAATGATTTAATGGTTGAAAGATTGTTCGTCATTTCGCTATCACCATGACCACTATAACCAAAATTATTATTATTAAAAGATGTATGAAATAATGTTTAATGTCAAAAACATACACTATAGAAAAACCAATGCTCACAACCGCACATCCAACAACTACAGCATCCATAATATTCCAGAACTCACGTAAGTAGCTTCCAGGATGGAGAATGACACCCAAATCAACAACTTTAAGTATCAACTCTATCGTGAATACGCAAGTAAATCCGTAATCAAAATAGTTAAGAAGTTTGTTTTTTTCTGAGTATTCATCGACCGGATCTTCACAAGCGAGTGCAATTGATGATAATGATATAACAATCATTATGAAAAAATCGAAATACTTCAAGTTGACAACCCAATGGGCTCCTCTACGAATGAAATTTGTTGGTGATAATATAAACATAGATGAGTAGGGCAACATAGGTCTTGGACCCTCAAGTATTTCTTCCTCTTCTTCTTTCTTCTCGTCTTTCTTTTTGTGATGTTTTTTATGAGCTGAATCTGTTGGTAAACTTCCTTGTGACGGTGATAAATCAGGGTTTTGTAATGCTTCCATCTCTTTATCCAATTCCATTTGCTGTTTTTCTTTGTCTTCTTCTGCTTGTTCTTCTTCAGCAGCTGTAAGTTCTTGAGCGTTGGCCAAATTATCAACAGCGATAGCCAAGAAGACATTTAGCAGTGTGTAATTACCAAATAACATTAAAACTATAAAGTATCTAAAAAGAAGAAAGAACACAATAATTATAATTGATTGAACAATAATTCCATCGCAAATTTACAATGAATAAATCATCCCTTCAGAATGTCCACCTTGTGATTCTATTCCGTAATACATAACTTCATTCCAATCTTCCCCGGTAAGAATTTGAAAAACAGTCAACAAAGCTATTGGAAATGTATTAAAGTTTGTTGGAGGTGTTCCATCAGCAAAATTGAATTGACCACCGAAAAGTTGCATTCCCAAAAGAGCAAAAATGAGAATGAACAAGAACAGAAGGAACAACAGTGAAATGATAGATCTCATTGAATTGAGCAGAGATATGACGAGATTTCTAAGAGACGACCAATATTTGGTAACTTTGAATATTCGGAGTAAACGAAGGGCTCTAAGAACCGATAGCCCAAAGGATCCACCCTTCACTGTTGACCAGATTACTTCAAAAATTGATCCACTTATGACGACACAATCAAAACGGTTGAAGGATGATTCAAAATAGATTCGAGGACCCAACGCATACATTTTGATAAACATTTCCATCATGAATAATCCTAGAAATACGAATTCAGTAACATCTAAAACAAAATAAAGAATTATATGCATTGGCCCTGAATAGTTAAGTTTTTATTTTTTACGTAGAAACTCTGTAAGGAAATCCGGTTGACCATAATGTTCAGCAGCAACTGTGACAGTATTGAAAAATACGAGCACAATAACGAACCAATAAAACCATTGAGTTTTAACTGTATGTCTTATCCAGAATCTCAAACGTTTTTCAGCACGCCAAAAGCTTTGACATCTTCCAGATGTTTTCACTTTAGACTTTAGAAAACCTGTTTAAATGAAAGATTTACAATATTTATTAAATGAATATTCTATAAAATTATTTCAGAATGACAATATGTAATAACAACATAAGACATATGTATGTCTTTATTTCAAACAGCAGATGTATGACTCACATCTTGCTGAGTACAGAAATTCTAAAAGCATTGGAGTTGTTAGCTCTTTCTTTGAAAGCATGCTATTGTCTAAATTCTATTAATTAATTATTTAGAAAAGGATATCTATTAATTTGTTTTAAACGACAATGGGGGCTTGGTTAATTTAAAGGATTCTAATTCTTTTTCATTTTTAATTAGTTCTTCACTTTTCTCCGTCTGGAAATACGCTATAAATTGTAGACCAAATCCCTAGAGCCACTCAAAATTTAATTTTGGTTCATTCTAGTGATTCAATATTTTTATTTAATAAATAATTGTTTACTGACAATTCTTAAAAGAAATCTCCAATTTCTGGCAAAATAAATATTTAGAAGATAGCAGTACACATTTTATGACTGACATGTGCTTTATTTATTTATTTTATAAACTAATATTATTAGTAATTTAAATTAATTGATTGTTATTATTATTGTATAAACTGATTTATTAAATAATGCTCATTGAAATACTTTTTTGGATCCCTAATTTTAACAAATAAAATTATAAAAAGCCCAATACAATTGATTTAATCCATGTTAAAACCGAAACAAAAAACAAATTGATAAAAAAACCAAAACGAACCAAATCATTAAAAGATAAGTTTAAAGTTATAAGCAATAAAAGGAAATTTAAGAAAAACAATTTCACTTGAAATCTATTTCAACTGAGAAAATATTGATATTACCACACTAGAAGCTATTTCTAAGAAATTAATTAATAAGCTTGTTAGGAAGTAAATCTAATCAATAGCAATCAAAACTCGAAAGTAATAAGAAAATAAATTTAAAATGTTATTCATCTAAGAATTGTGCGCTTTCTCAAGTCTTCTGATAAAAATATTCTAAATTAAAAAGTTATGTTGGTTTTGTAAGTCATACGTGCTAGATAGTCTCGATTTTTTCATTATATAAATAAACATTTATCGTTATAAGATGATCAATAATAGGGTTCGCAAAATTAGCCATCTTCAGGCCTTTGAAAACCAGTTGTTGCTTGAGACCTACATAGGCCAGCAGCGCTTGAAAATCAAGGGTTTCAATTTTTTTTTAAAATAACATGAAATTACACTAATGGTTCACTTTTACTCGCGTTATGAGAACTTTTTATAGTAAGTAAAAGTTACAAGAAGCTTTTTAATTTTCAAGCATTCTTTCAACTTTATTTTCGTTAGGAAAGTTTTTTTCATATAATTTTTAAAAGTTGGAAAATCCCACATTCTTATTATGGTTGTGCAATATGCCACTTTCTCGATGTTGTCGGATATATAAACAATGTATTTAAAGTTTAAGTTCCAAAAAAAAATTGAAATTTGAATAACCCCTTCTAAAACCAATTTATTCAAATTATAAATTCTTAGATTTTTGATTGAAGCGATTACTTTTCTGGGGAACTTTAAGTTTAAATACATTATTAATATACTCCAAAACAGAAGTGGAATATTGCACATTCATAATATGAATGTGAATTTGAAAATCCTTTAAAATTTATATGGAAAATAAATTCCTAACGTTGGTCTGCAAAGATAGCACGCTGACAGAAATGCTGGCCTATGTTGGCCGCGCAGGTTGTTAAGACCCACCCTAGTTAATGATCCTTCCCTATATCAAGAATAATTACTTTTATTCTCTTAAAAGAACTCACTCAAGAGTTTGTTTATTTATGTAATATGCATCTCAATTAAGTGTTTTCTTTTTGTCTTAAAATCTACTTTCATTAATTTCAATCTGATTTATTTTTCGTCAAGAAGTTTGTCTGTTTGGTCTGTTCTATAGAAATATTAACTTGGGACTTTTTACCTTTTTTACGTTTAACTGCAAAAAATTATTGACAAAAACGTAATAAAAGAATGTAATATTAATTTTATTCTGAATAACAAAACGAAAAATTAATTATGTAAATATTATTAAATATCTAAATGAATTTCCTTGGCTAAAAATAAACAAAACAAAGAATTTCTATTTCTAATTTTTTAAGATGGATTTGAAAAAGAAATCTTATTGATAAGAAGGTTCATTAGCTATCTACTTTCTGAATTTTTTTAAATAAACAAAATTTTTAGTTTTTATATAAATTGTATCAGATTTTTAACTGAATAACGTTTTTTTAAAAAAACGTTTCATGATGTAAAATAAAATAAATTATTTGATGTCTATCAGTCAACTTATGTAGGTATTTTTAAATAAGAATTAAAATGTTCAAATATTTTAAATTCAAAAATTTTTTGACATGAAAAGATTTTTTAAATTTATGAAAATATGATATTTCTAATTATTTATTCTGCCAATAGAAAATTTGTAAACTTTGGGACAAATCTGATAATAAATAAAAAAAATAAACTTGCCATCATCTCCACAGTCGTCATCAACGTCTTCTTCTTCAGTGTCGGTTGATTTTGACTTTCCTAAGTTTTTGAGCTTTTTACGTTTTGCTGCAGCTCTACGTCGGGCTAACGAATAATAAAAAAATAATTAAGTTTACTGTATGAATGAAAAACTGCTAGAATATTCAGTATTTTTTTAATATTCCAATACGCTTCGAATAAATCATCTGGAATTTTATGGAAATATGAAATGACTCTAACGCTCTGCGCATGAGCTCACTTTCCATATAAATATGTATTTGAGACTTTTGTATAAAAAACAAACATAAGTCTACAGAATAATTTTGACCATGTGGAAAATTTCACGAGTGAATTTTCATTTAACATATTTCACTTTGTAAACATTAAGATTTCATCTGTAGTAGGTTTCAAAATAATAATAACTACCTTCCATTATGTGCATTCGTTCCTCTTCTGTGGTTCTTTCCTCGGCTAATATTACTTCCTCTGAATTTTAGTAAATGAATGAAAGAGTTGAAGGAAATGAAATAAATGTTAAAATTAAGTTTTCTTTTTCAATTTTTAAGTCAATTGTATACTCTACCAGCTTTACAAATCCACTCAACATAACCATTAAGCTCTTTTTCCAATTGTTGTTGTCGTCTCAACTTTAAAAACTCTTGTCTATTTTCTACTTTCTCTCTTTCCTTAGCAAATTCTCTACATATATAAATATTTTAAAAAAGCAAAAAGGTTTATATTGTCAAACAGGTATTACAAGCCTAAACATTTCTTCAACTAACGTTTCAGTTTAAAATAAAAATTAGCTTGAATGCAAGTAAATTTAATTTAAAGTGGATATGTTCTCAAAAGTAATGGAATCGAAAGCAATAATTACAAATTTGAAGTAATAAGATAGAAATATTGAGAACACCTGCTTGTATTATCCACTTAAGATAAGCCTTCATAGCTTCTCCAATCATTTTTCGTGTTCTACATTTGTGAAACTGTGCACGACGTTCAACACGACCTCGTTCATTCGAAAATTCACTTGTATGATGAATACTTTTGAATGAAATGTTTAATTATATAAGATTCGTAATAGAAACTTACCCGCTGAGAACACCAAGAACTAGGTTAAGCATGAAAAATGAACCCAAAACGATGAGGGGCACAAAATAAATCCAATTGAATGTTGAACCTAATGCATCGTTCGTCTAAAAAATTATTTATTAATTTAAATTTTTGTATGATTTATATGATAATAATTCCTGATTTTCACACATGTCATTTGCTGATCAATCTCACGAAGGCTTTTATGCATTTATTTAATCAAAGGAGTTGGTAAAATAGTGTATTAGAGTCTATTATCAAAACATATATTCCAATGTTTGTTATAATATTTTGTCATTATAGAAGTTTTCAAATATAAATTATAATGTTAAAATTGTAATCTAATAGCAAATGTAAAATTTATTATCATTTTAAATAACATATCTTTAAATACTTTTGTAGATTTTATTCTGATGAAAGCCTCTTTGAGTAACTATATCTACTTTACCAAACCCGTTTGAATTATAGGAAATCTCAATATTAAACTAGCAATGTTATAAATGAAGTAATATATACCCAATATAATATTGCAGTCCAACCTTCCATTGTAATGCATTGAAAAACCGTTAACATAGCAAATCCTATGTTATCAAAACTTGTAATGCCATAATTCGGTCCTTCCCATTGCTCTATACATGTACTTTCATTATAGTTACACGTGTATGCGCCAGCCGGTGCTATGGTTTTATTATCTGCGTTGCAGGGAACTGGAAAGTCCCCTTCTTTGAATAATTCTTCTATACAGCAATAATTACAAAAATGAAATTTAATAATGAACTCACTAACTGATAAACTTCTTTGTTTCTACTTACTTATGTCCTCTAAACTATAACAACTTTTGTGCAAAGCACCAGAATAAAATTCAAGTCCTATAATTGCAAATATAACGATTGCAAATAAGACCAAAACGCCAATTTGAAGTAAAGGTGCCATAGCTTTAATAATCGATTTCAATACTACTTGTAAGCCTTTGTTGTCATTGTATTGAATTTAAAAAAGAAAAGAAATTGCATTAGTTTTTAATAGAAAATCTTAAAAAAAATCTAACAATAAAATGGTAATTAATTTTTAAATTCTAAATGAAACAAATTATTCTATATAAAATTTTGTATGAAACTAGCCTAAGCTACTCACTAGGAATTCCAGACACTAATTTCAAGGGTCTTAAAACTCTTATGGCCCTCAGCGTTCTGAGATCTAAGCCTCCTAGACCTACCCAATCATCAGGGAGGACTGTCAAGAACCTATTAGAAGTATGTTTTAATTATACTAGCATTTGAAAAAATACATACGACAGCGAACATATCATATCTTTCAAAAATAAAAATAAAATTAATGTTTAAATACAATTAAATTAGAAAAATATGTTTGGAAATCTATCTCTGTCTCTTTCTCTTAAAAATCCAACATTTTTAAGTCCATATTAAACAACCTAGAATAGTATCTCATCTGACTAAACTGATACTTTGTTAAATATTTAGTGCCTATGATTTAATCGTTTGAAATTCATAACTATTTTAGATAGTCATCATCGTCCACTATTGTGGAACTTATGATTCTGTACTAAATATACTACACTATATCTGAGAATATTAATTTCTCTATACTATTTATTTATGTGAAAAAATTGGTATATCTGCTATATTTATGATATCATCTAGCAATAGATTAATGTACATGTTAAAATGATTAAATTCAGAAGATTGAATTTACAATCAAAATCGTCTTACTTGGTATCCTAGAAACTAGTTTAAGTGGCCGAAGAACTCGAAAGGACCTCAACATTCTTAAATCAACATCAACATTTGCCTCAGCAAAAACAGTCATTGATCTGTTTATAATTTTTTTGTGTTTGTTTTTGTTTATGTTATTTTGACGTAAGTATAACAAAAATAACGATTTTTATTAAGAGTTGTGTTTTATATTAAAAATTGAAATATGAATCATGTAAAAATAAAATGATGATGTCCATTATATCGAAAAGGGAACCAATTCAGAAAACATTGGTTTTTGTTTTTAATTCTAATAAGTACATAAATTCTTCATGTAATATTTCATAAGTCATCATATTCATTCATATGTCTCAAGATAATGGATATCACTATTAATTATTTTATGATTATACTCATTTGCTGATTTTTTAATTAAAAAGTTTCGGCGCTCTATTCCGCGACGTATTTTTGTTGAGGTATTAATTTAATAGAAAATTTAATGAAAAACTTTGGAACCTTGGCGAAAGAATTTGAAAATTGGTCGAAAATTCTTCACAAATTTTCTGAAAGTTTTCTCAGGAATAATTCACGAAATTTTTCGCAAGAACATGATGTTCTGTTCCGTTTTTTTTAGAAATTAAAGGGAACAAAATGGAACATCAATCTGTCCCGGAAAAAGAAAAGGGAACAGAGAAGAAGGACCAAACAGTTCTGGGATAGAGAAAAGAATCTGTTCCCGGAACACAAAATGGAACAAAAGAGAAACACGTTTCGCGGAACAGAGACGATTTTAGACTTACCCTGTTACTACAACGAAAAAATCCATTATGTTCCAAATATTCCTGAGGTATGAGTTTTTATGCATCACAAAACCCAAGGCAAGGATCTTAAGGGATGCTTCTACACAGAAGATGGCCAGGAAATATACTTCCGTTTTTTCCTAAAATATTAAAAGCATTGCAATGCATTGGAGAAATGGTCAATGAAAATACACTTGACATGAAATACTTTTCATTACTTACCAATTTAAGTGCCAATATCGTCTTATCACCATTTGGCAAGTGTTCTTCCAATGCTAGAACTACGCAATTTGCTATGATTGTCAAAAGAACAGCGTACTCGAAGGGCGGCCATTCGATAATAAAATTTGTGTAACGTCTTATTGGATTTTCTTCAGAAAGGATAAACAGTGATGTAGGACCACTGTTCGGTGGACCTTGATCTTTTGGAACTCCCATTTTATCAGCTGAGTGAAACGCAAATTTGCGATCCAATTGTCGACCGCTTGAAGATTGCCCAGCTATTGCAGCCTCCTGAGCCGCTGCCAATCTTTAAAATAATTTTTGAAAAAATGTTTGAATGAGATATATCATCAAAAACTCATTTAACTTTCGATTTTTTTTACATTAGAGAATAAAAAAAAAAAAGTTCGTATACAGATTTCATTACAGAATTTTTATCACCAAGCGTACATATGAAATAAATAACTGGAAGAAGTCTCGAACGAGAAAAGATTAAAGACAGTACCTGATAAACTGGCCAAAAGAAAATCGGGATAAGACTAGAATTTTTGTAAAATGAGAGCCCACTTTTACAGAAAACAAATTAACACTAACTAAATAAATACAAAAATTAAAAACTAATTCACAAATTCCATAGTTTTTATTTAGATGGTTAAAAATTATATTTTGGTATTTTATCGCAACAACCCCATTTATTCACATAAAGATATTATATTAATGTTCAATAAAAATATTCAAATACTTATTGATATGTACATAAGTATAAGACTAAATATGCACAAGAATTATCATTTTTTTTGGTCAATTATTATTTGAGTCATTGGAATTTTCTTTCACACATACAAACATAGAAAACAATTCTTCATCAAAGCTTTTCATTTCATCCTTAAGTTTTCTTAGTCTGCAATTTAATGACGCTTATTTACACATTCACTCACATTGAATCATATTCAATTTATTAGAAAAAATTGTAATTCTTATTATAATAAATAAAAAAACTTAAATTCTGGTACAAAATAAAAATAAATGGTTCTTATATATGACAATTGCTCTCTCATATAATAGGATTCAATGATTTTGGGATTATTTCAATGCCTTGTAAAATTTTCAGAATTTTAATTCTTCGTAATGTTAAATAATGCACAATAATGATATCAAAACGGCACAGTTTTGCGGTCCTTCAATGTATAATGTTGAAATTGGAAAAATTATCCTTCAATTCTTTTATATTTCGCTTCAATCCTCTTTTTTTTTCATTAGTGACACCATTTTTTTTCAATCTTGGAAAACACTTAATAAGCTTTTAAACTTAAAGAAACGAGAATATGTGAAGTTTTTCCTCTAACATTTATGTTACACTGAAATCACTGAAATCTTTACCAATTTATCCAAAGAGTTATTTGATGACCACTTTTTGGCCATATTGGTTACTCCACAATTTTTTCTTTCATTTGGATCACTGTCAATTTTTCTTCGTACAAAATCATTTGATATTGAGACGCTTTGTACTTAAAACAGTTCAAAAAACAGGAAAAAACGGTTCACTTGAAATTTATAAGCTGATATCTTTTAAATTAAACGAAAAGTAAAGCTATAATGAAAGAGTATTCAATTTTCACTTGAATAATTTGGACAAAATTTTTTAAAAGTATTTTAATGGTTTCTCTCAAGCACACTAATGGAAAGAAAATTTTCATACCTGAAAGCTTTCCTTGGAATATCGTTGAAAAGATTTGGAAATTTCTTTGGAGACTTTTAGCTGTCAGGAAATTTTATATGTGTTGGAAAAGGACTTTGTATTGTTGCAATAGTATTTATGAATGAATGGTGAAAAATGTTGAAATATCTAATCTTTTAATCGTTTTTTTACTGTTTACCAAAAATTCAACATATTAAAGAGGTATTTTTTTCTTATTATTAAGACAAGGTGAAAATTTTCTTTTGAATAGCATAACACATAAATAGCAATTATTAAAAATTATTAATTTTAAATGTCTCATTATTGGCAAAATCATTAGTGAAATATCTACAACTGTATATATGTAGATATTAACAATTTCAATACTTACACTAACTCTCCTAATTTTAATCTGGTTTGAATTAAAGCACATGACTTGTGATCTCCTACAGCCACAGCACGTCTTCTTCTTGGTGAAACTCCTGTTTTAGATTGTATTGTTTCATGAACATCTACATTACTCAACCCCCGAATTATAGGGCTTGATCCCCTTCGGCGCGAAGCCATGTGTCTGCCGCCACCAATCATTTTCCTTTAAATTTATACAGAATATAAGGCTTATTAATCATTTTTAATTTAACGACAGGTTAATAGATTTAGGTTTCTAATAACGCACTCACATTGAATTTGTAGTTCACAAATAATTCAGAAGTAATGGATGAACAGCAAAATTCCTTCATTCATTTTCTTTTAGACTTCGTTTTTTTTTGTGAAAGGAATTATTCATGACACGTCCTAAGAAGATTTAGAAAAGTTATAAGGATATTGTTACTCTTTTCCCAAATCAGTGTTGGAAATTTTATAAGTTTTAAACCTTACGTCAAAAACATTGTTATTTTTAGATTTTGTAATTTATTTTTTACATTAATTTATTCACCTAATTCAAATAAACTTTGAACTTCTTTGAACAGTATTAAATAATATTTTTTGTATTTAATTCCAAGTAATTAAACATTTAATTTAATTAAGTATTATTTATTATCTTCTGAGGAATTTGTCAGGCTATTTTTTAAAATGGGGACTTTAACTAATTGAGCTTTTCAGTTATTCTCTGGTAGACTATGTAAACCAATTAATCTTTTTCATAAATGATGCGTGTTTGTTTAATTTTTTAGAATAGATTCAAATAAGTTTTTCTTAAGGATAAGCAATAAACAAGTTTTTAGGAATTCTCATCCTGTTTTTAACTTTAATTTGTTTCTGATTGACTAAATAAGCAATTCGTTTAACGAAAAAATTGCATGAAAACATGTTTAGTGGATATAAAAACCTGAATAAAAAATAAATTAGAATTTAAAGATATTAAATAATAGAAAATGTCTGTTTGTTTTTTTTCAGTTTTATAAGCGGAAAACATAAGGAGCAACAGGTTGTCAATTTAACAATGAAGAATTTAAATTTTTAAAATAAATATTACATTTACATATATCTTTCACGTCAATTTCATTGAAATAACAATTTCTTGCTGATTGATCTCGTTTCAATTTCAAATTTTTTTGAGTCTTCAATTATGCTAAATTCAAATTAAAGCTCATTTGAAATTTCATCTATTAGCTTGCGTTGAAGTAGTGTTACTAAATGAATCCTTCTGTCGAAATTATTATCGTTTTATTAATTTTGAGAAAATATCACAGTCACAATTGATGACAAACAAACTTATAAATGCATTTATTTTTTTTCAAAACATTTTTTTTAAATCCATTCCTTTCTAAAGCACACCATTCAATATACTAAGAATATTATTCTCCAACGAGCTTGCTTCTTACTTTTTCCTGGGATTTCTCTCTCAAATTTTCCATTCTTCCACATCAAGGGCCTGCTCATCGAAAAACTTTGGCCGACAAAAGTTCCATTGAGAAAAAGCACTAGGCAAATACAAATAGAAACTAAGGAAATTCTTGGATAAGCAACGTTTTTTATGAAAAAGCACTAGTGCTTTTCGAAGTATTATTTAGAGGCAGGCGACAAAAGCAATACGATGAACAGCCCCTTGTTCCACACAATATTGTGAGTATTTCGCTCTTTTTGCTCATTAAATGCAACAGTTGACTTTTCCGGTGCCATAAATTTAATTATGCTTTTGGTATCACATGTTATTGAAAAGCAAGTATATCAAACACTTTTTAAGCTTTCATATGCCTTTGAAATATTTGTAGTATTGTTTCCAAAATTCTTAAATGAATTGGTTGGAGCATAGGTTTTGAAAGAATACTTTGTGGCTTATTCTATTAATAGTTCCAGCCCTTGATAGATAGATAGATTGATAAGGAAAAAAATATCAATAATAACAGACGCGAATTGTTGAATACACTTAAAGGTATGCATTTGAACTCATTAAAATATTAAAAAGTTGAAAATTCTAAGAAACTCTTTTCCAATTTATTTTCCAGTCTAAAGTCATAATACTAACTCAATATTATCTATCAATACTTCAATTTGATTCATCTACTTACGTAAGTATAATCATATTTGAAAAAAAGAAAGCAGAATCGTTTATCAGAAAATTGATGCTTTTACTATTTTTATCTAATAAAATGGTAAGAAAAAAAATAACGCATATCGATTTAGACCTAAACAATAAACAACATAACTTTATCAGCTTACAGTAAATTGGCTTCGTGTGAATATTTAGATAACATCCAGATTAATATCGGAATTGATAAGAAGTAAATGACACAAAAAGGGAACAAATTCTTCTAGAAACCTCTCATACAATATGACTTTAGAAAAACTCTCTATTTGGTGTTCTGTTTTACATCACTGTTCACAATTAAAATAAAAAAAGAGGTAATGAAAGAGCAAATGAGTAGGTAAACGTAATCAAAGTATCGAAATTTATTAAATTCACTTAAATATTAAAAACAAAAAAGAAGATAATAAAAATAAGTCAAATCAAAGTTTGATCAAGAGTTGCGCACGTTTCTTCTTGGTTGTGATGTTTCAGAAAATTCTTATGTTTTTTTGTTGATATTATTACCATGCATTATTTTAGTAAACTCTTTATATTTTCCGAAAATTGGTTATACATTTATATATAATATGTATATATAATATTATATTTACTTTTGCATCTTAAAACTTTTCTCCAACAGGTTTTATTGTTAATTCTTTGATGTTGATTCGGTATTCCAAGAATGTACAGAACAGTCTGAGATATATTTTCAACACTTAGATGTGGCAAAACTTTAAAAACATCAACACTTGGGTCGACTCCTGCGGCTAGAAAGATATTTGTTCACTTCATCATTATACACGCGGACTATTCCTACTTTATAAACCATAGTCTGTACTGAATATTTGTTTTAAATTTCAAATTTAGGATCTTCCCAGCATAAATTATGTTCCAATAATGCATATGCTTCTACTCTGTAAGTAAAATAGACAAAAAAATAACAAAAAAGTTTTAAAAAAATGTTCTGTTAAAAATTATTTTTTGTATTTGATTCTCGTTTTGAGTTTTTTTACTACAATACAATAATTAATTCGTAACACAATTGAAATGTTATGTCTCCCACTCTTAAAATGTGTTTATTTTTTTATTTAATTTAATTTTTAAAAACGTTACAGGTTTGTTTCTTTGATCATAAATAAGCATATTTATGATCTTTTTCAAAGTTCCACATTATTTGAAAGTTCATATCTTTGCTCCAGCTGAGCACAATAATATTTCTCTTAATATTTACGTAAATTTACTTTTTTCAAAAGTTTTTTTTATTGAAATAATAGCCAAGAAAATTCACAGTTATACTAAGAATTAAAAAAAATTAAATTAAATTAAATTGAACTACTTAAGACTAATAAGTAAATCATTTTACAAAGAAATATCTTCCGTCTGTAAGAAGAGGAGAATCTCTTGATCACATTACATCAAAATAAGAAAGAAAATTATGACAAACAACTATGATTTGGAGAATGGTTAATCCGAATAGCAACTAAACCTTTTCTTTAAGTTATTAGGAATTGGTATAGAGCGAAGCTTGCTTTTTAAGTATCAATACCATTACTAAGAACATAAGAGTGAAAACTTTACTAACGCCAATCAATCACTTCTGAATTGATCTCTGTTTTGATATTTAATTAAACAGAAATAAGATTAAACATGTTAATGTTGGCATTTCTTTAAAGCATTTTCAGTCTTAAAAAACCTTTTAACTAATTCATTTCTTTAAAAATAGATTCAAGGTGATAAGAAAATGATTCCACGCACGTATCGATGCTAAAAACCCAAATAAACGTTTTTGTGCTTTTCTAGGAAAATCGATGTCTATTTTTATTTCAGAAAAACCTCATTTAATCTTTTCATTAAAAGATAATCTTTAAATTTTGCAAGATTAAAGCATTTTTACAAAGAAGCTTCTAAAAGGAAAAATCTCAATTTAAAAAAGAATGAATTTGTGTAGTTTACACACGAAAAAACTTCATCCCAATCTTGCAATAATAACTACAGATTTAGGTGTCTACTCAGTTTACCAAAGTAAAGCCTGAAGGAATTTCATTTCCTTAATTTAAATTTGAATCTTCAAAATTGACCAATATTTTAATATATGTAAAGTGTGGATTTAAAGTTGAATGGAACGGTTCAGTTGAAATAAAAACGAATTATCTAAGTCATATGAATTTTTAACTATGCAAACACATTATTTATAAAAAAATACTTCGAATCGATTCTTACTGATTTTTTGGAAAATTGTACAAAAAAGGTCTTATTGCTGAATTTGCTTGAATCTGTTTTCAAAAAGTTTACAATTGTAGAACTCGACAGTGATAGAACTCAATAAAACTGAGAAAATTATTCAATTTGAAAATAAGGAGATTATTTTTTACTTTACTTTTGTCTCAATTGAAAACTATGTTACTCATCATAGTTGCAAAGTTGTACAACTAGAACTTGCTTTCTGCTTTTGAAAAATTTTAAACTTCTTGCCAGAGTGAAGTGACATTAATGATTAATCCCATTTTCAAGTTTTTTTTTAAATATCTATAATGTTTTTCTTTATGAGCACGGAAAATGAGAACAGGAAGGAATTTAATGATAAAATAAAATTCAATAAAATAAAAAAGGTAAAAAAAAGAAATTATTTAAAATTTCAAATTCATGAGATGACGTTAATATTTCTTCAACTTATGGTAGACAGTTTTAATGATCACGAAATCTGTTCCTCATTTCGCGGCATTCTACATATGGATATATATGTGTATGGATGTATATGCATATACAAATAAGTATATATGTACATTATATATGTATATATATATAAATATATGCATTGAAATATTTACAAGACTTAAAAGTATTCAAACAATTATTAAGGGACGTCGTCTTCATCATATCTTAATCACATTGACGTTGATGAAAATTCGATTGAAAATTGTCAAGATGAAATCGATTTCTCTTCGCAATTCAAAAGACTATTTACAAATTCTCCGACATTGGTCGATGAAGATTCGCTACCAGTTGGTTCAGTGATAGTGAGTGCTGAAGGTGAATCGTCTAGATTTGTACCGCCTATTAAACAATCACCAATATCATCCATTCGTGAATATTTTCGCTTCGATAAATTCGTTGTCGTCTGTTTGTTACTAAATCCAACTTGCGTCATATCGTCGTGATCATTTCTATGCAATTGATATTGACTCAAATGATTCAGTGGAAGTAAATTAAGATGGGATTGTGAGATCTGTTGTACAGGTGAATTTGGTGCTCCCGATGGCGCTGTTATTGTATTTAGCTCTAAAAATGATGAGTCAAGCTGATAGTGCAGAGGATCAGTACTTTGTAAATTCAAAATAGAATCAATTGCATTCTGAACTTGACGACTTATATCGTCAACTTCATCATAGTTAAGATTCTTCTCGATGTGATTCTCCTGTCGATTTATAATTGTTGTTATTGGATGTTGAATTTGATGTTGATGTTGTTGCTGATCAATTGTGTGACGAGAATGTTGTTGTTGTTGATGTGTGATCAAATCATTTGCTTCTAAGTGATATTGATTTTGTTGATGAGGTGATTGAATTCCACTGATCATTGCTTCAGATCTATGATCTATTTCACCATTATTCCAACTTCGATTTTTTATGCTCTCATCAATAGTTGATTCAGTTGAAATAATTTCCGATGCAAAATCAAAGCTCTCGTCAATCCATTTATTGTCGAAGGAAACATTTGTGGGAGCAGTACAAGCGCGTTTCGACATTGATGTCGACGATGTTGATGTTGAAGATGATGGAGTAAAGAGCATAGAAGTGCTAGTTGGTGTATAAATATCACAATTACCCGACCACTGTCTTTTGTTGACATTCGAAGCGTTCGTATTTGAAGTTTCGCTTGAAGATGTTGATATGTGAACTTGCTTTTGAATCATTTCGTATGTCATTTCAGCATTCTTATATAGGAAACTTGCATTATCCAAAGCTGACTCGTCATTCTCTGCGACAGATCCTTGGAAGAGTTGCTCCAAACGAGTCTCAACAAGATCTTGTGCGTTTGATAACTTTGGTGATGTATTAATGACATCAGTCTCACGAAATAAAGCTTCTAGACGATTCTCTACAGTTTTTTCCCCAAGATGTGATGTATCGACATGGAAATAGTCAGATAGTGGAGAAGAAGCTGCTAACAAATCACTGGATTTATTTGTGGAACTGAAAAGATCATCCAATTGCTTCTCAACACTTTTTGGACTCGCATTCTGCTCAAATATGTCTGACAAATCCGATTCAATGGTTTTCGAAAGAACGTCTTTAGGGCATTTCGTTGCCGTTTCTTTCTTATTACAACTACGATTACTACCAGTACTCGTTGACGGTTGAACTAAATGCATATTCAATTCTTTCTGAATTACTAACCATTCATCATAAGTAGAAGTATCACCAGTATTCTCATTTTTGATTGGCTCCATTTGATGTTGTGTTTGTTGCTGCTTATTTTGGATCTTGCTATGCCAATTATGATTTGCTTTAGTAGGATTATAGTAATCATTGAGCGGTGAAAATTCTAAATCTCTTTCTTTCTGTTTATTATTGGCTGTAGATGATGACGACGATGAAGATGAAGATGACGATGATATTCCAAATGCCGGCGAATCACATTTCTTCATGATGAGATTAGGACGAATTTCTGATTCAATATCAAAATCGTCAAGTTCTTCCTTCATTTCAGTTTGTTGATGTTTAATTAAATTACTTTTACTGCCATGACTGAATGTTGATATTGTCGTTGATGATGATGATGGTGCTATATCAGAGATGATTTGTATATGTTGCTGCTGTTGCAAAGACCCATTTGGTGATATTTGAGATAATAATGATGATGGATGATTGCAAGTTGTTGTTGAGTTGGTTGAAAAACCATTGCTTGCAGGATTAACTTTCGAATTTTTCCTTTGAACATCAAAAGGAGGTTCAATTTTCACCATCTTTTCATTTTTAATTGTTTCTAGCAGTTTTTGCTCATGTTTTGCCTTTAAAATTTGACTTGGCTCTTGCATGATTGCAACATTATGCGAATTTGGATTATGGACGTACTTTTGTGCGTTTTGATGATTTGATGCTGTTGCAAGTAATTGGTTTGATGATGATTCATTTTTGCTTGTAGAAATGATGTGTTCAACTTGCGTTGAATGATGATTAACGATAGTTGCCGTATTTGATGATGACTGTGTAGGATCTGCAATCGACATTTCATTCTTAACTGCAACCCTTTCATGATGTTGTTGATAATCAAACAAAGATGTATTCAAATCAGCTTGCATTGATACAATCTCATCTTTCAAATCAGCTACACGCAGACGATCAAGCATCATCAATTCTGATGTAGGAGCGTTTTGCTGAAGAAAACAAATAATAAAAAAATATTAGTATTAAATTGATACGTCTGATGTTATTAAATTGATGTTGATGTAAAACCGAAACTATGTAGTCGATGAGATAAATCCGAGAATAAAATCTTCTTATTGTCTGAAAACCGTATTTCGTTTTACATCAACAAATAATAAATAAATAGTTTTCATACATATTTTCATCATCATAAAAACAGACAACTTACTTGTGATTGTTTTAGAAGTAAAGTTTTGTATTTCTTTTGCATTTCTTTGTAACTATTTAAGAACATTTTCGCCTGCTCCTCAAACTCATATTCCTCTTTTGAGTCGTATTCATCTTTAACTTCTTCATACAAGCAATGATATCTTATGAGATAAAAATGAGAAATTACATAAGTATTATTGTGGCATGATAAAAAATAGTTTTAAATTGTCATAAAACAATAAATATGTAAGAAGATAATGAAATGAAAAAAATAATGAGAGAATAATTCCAATTCCTTTGAAATATTAAACGGAAAGCATCGAAAAACTTTTTACCTAATCAAACGTTTCACTGCATTATTTTTACTTATAAAATCAGTGTTATAATCTGGTCGTACGCATCCTTCTTGATCAACGAAAATTTGTCGCTCAAATCTGTTCATGAAAATAATTAAGAAAAATAAACAAAAAGGGATTCGATGAATAACAATAATTGAATAGAAATGAAGATTAATTTCATCGATTTCACACTCACAATGATGAACGTGTTACTTTCATTACACGGTTTGCTTCAATGGCTAATGCATTCTTATTTTGATTTTCTGCTGTTGATACTGATGTTGTTGATGTTGACAGCTTTTCTGAGACTGTTGAGTTCATATTATTGTCGGATGTAACTGAATTGAGGTCGTCTTCCTTTTTGCATTCCTTCGGCAAATTCAATTCTTTCTGTTGATAAGACTCTGAAGAGTTTTTAATACAATTTGTTGAATATTTCGGTGATATCACAATGGATCCAGTCAAAGATGATGCAGTGGTTGTTGTTGTTGGTGTTGGAGACAACGCTAATTCCGTCTTAACTTGAACTTGTACTGGTGACGACACAACTAATGGCGGTGGTTGTTGTAAATTAGACAAAGTTGTAATAGGTTCTTGTTTAACAATAGAAGCTGTATGAAGCTTTTGAGAAATATTGCTAAATTGTGAAGAACTTCCAATAGATGATATAGTTGTAATAGGAACAACATTCTGTTGACTACTATTCACTCCGCTAATAACACGACTACCTATATTTGTAGTATTGCTGACAACCTGAGATGAAGAAGCTGCAGGAATCGTGGGAATAATTTTTCCTGTAGCCAAAATCTTTTGTTGTTCCACAAATAGTCGTTGAAGTGCATTATAAATATCACCATCGGACATTGCATTAATATTATTTAACACTGGCAGTGGATTATTATGAACTGGACTGTTGGGATCGACATCAGCTGTTAGTGTTCCAAGTAAATTTTTATTTTGCAGTTTCGCTGACAACTGTTGAATTTGCATTTGAATATTTTTTAAACTTTGCTGCTTTTGTGGTGTCAACTGGATCGTTTGAACTCTAGGCATTGGCGCCTGATTAACACTCACAAGTGGAGGTGGGATTGCTTGTTGCTGTTGTTGTTGCGTTAAGGGACTTAGCTGGGGAGCCAACGTTAATTTAATTTTTTCCGTTTTTGTTAGGTTTGGTCGCATCAATGAGGAAGATGTTGCGGATGTTGCTGGTATAACTGAGATAGAACTTTGATGCTTCGTGTTATTCTTCTGAATATTTCCCCCATACGGCGAAGATTTTGTAGCATTCATTTTAGTTGTTGCAGACATCATTAAAGATGGATTTGGTGAAATAGTTATAGTATTCTTCCCGTTCGAGTTCATTGTTGTTGTGGTAACAGTGGACGTTGGAATTGTATTGGTTTTGACAATAACTTTCGTGTCATCACAAGTTGTTATTGCTTTCATTGGTGGCGGGCTCTGAACTTGAAAGCTTGTCGACTCCTTTTTTATCATTATGTCGTTTTTAATTTTCTCTTCCAACAATTTCGCTTTCTTTCCTCGACTCTTTTTTATTTTCTGTTCAAGAGGCTCTTTTTTAACTGTCTGATTGCTATTGAAAACTTTTGAAATGCCAGAAGTTTTCAGTTGCTGCTGTTGTTGCTTCTGTTGTCCTTTATTAAGATCTGTTGACGGAGCTTGTCCAATATTATTGAAATGAATCTGGCCCTGTGAGAGACATTGAGCTAATTGTTGAGCATTTATGCCACTTGGAACAATAAGAAGTCTCTCCATTGGACTCAACGCTGCTGTTGTTTGATTAGGATTCAATTGGGTTATCTCATTGGTGATTGTATTTAAAGAGAACAATTGTTGGTTTGGTTGTATTTTTGGCAATTCCACAAACTTTAATATGTTTGGATTCTGAAGAACAACATTTTGTGAATGATTTTGCGGATTAGTTCTTTCAATCTTTCCTACCGTATGTTGTTGAGGATTACTTTGTATGACATGACTTGTGGGCATCGAATGAGTTTGAATTACATTGTTGAATATTTGCGGTGCTTGATGAATTTGTTGCTGATTTTGTGTACTTATTATGACGTTCTTATTCTGTATCATTGGCGATTGAATATGTTGAATTTTTCCATTTGCTCCAATAATGTGTTGTTGCTGTTGTTGTTGATGCTGCTGTTGTTGTAGTTGTTGTTGGTGATGCTGTTGACTATTTTGGTGAGAAATTGATTGTGTTTTTAATGGTTCATTAATTAAGCTGACGTTTCCTAAAGCACCAGTTAAGATTGTTTGTAAAATCATTTGTGATTGAGCATCTTGAGGGATATTTGGATCATGACGAAGTATCAGACGTCCATCTTCTGATAGTGAAAGTACAAGATTTCCAGTTAGTTGTGAGAGAATATTTTGAGCAGTTGGCTGCAAATGTTGTTGCTGATTATTATTTGTAATGTGACTTTGATTTACAGGTGCCGTTGTGATGATATTATTGGCGATGGTTTGATTTTGAATATTTACTTGAATGCTTGCAGGTAAATTTGATTGTTGTTGATTATTAAATGCTCCACCTTGGATTATAATATTTCCTGTTTGTGGTTGTTGCTGTTGTTGTTGAGCATTTATAATATTTCCAATAAGATTTTGGGTACTTAAAGATTGTGATGTAGCAACATTGTTGTGATTTTGATGAGCACCACCAGATGACACAGAAGAAGATGATGCTGATGAAGATGACGCAGCAGATGATGTTGATGCAGCTGATGGTGGTGGTGGTGCATGAGCTGGTGTAGCTCCCGAAGTGTGTTGTTGAGGATTAGCAATAACTTGCATTTGCAAATTATTCGTAACATTAATCAACTGGTTTTGCTGAACATTAATATTTACTTGAGATGGTCCTGAATTCGATTGAGCATTAGCAGAACTTTGATGGTGATGATGATGATGATGATGATCACGATGCTGATTATTCTGTTGTTGATTTGAATTATTATTATTAGGATTGGAAATAGTTTGTTGTATTATCGGAACTTGAACTTTATGTTTCTCTGCAACTTGACTATGCTTCCCATCATAAGCTGATGATGAGGCATGATGACTCTTATCAAGAATCGGCATAATTTGGATCTGATTGTTTATATTCTTATTTCCAATAGTTGAACTACTCTTAACAGCCGAACTATCAATTTGTGATATTTGAATATTTCCGATTTGAGTTGGTACTTCAATCGTTTTTTCTAATTGCTTTTTACTCTTCTTTGATGATTGTTTCCTTTGTCGTTGTGCTTTCGCTGCTACAACTTTTGTACCTGTTGCCACCGGAGGCAATGCCATCAGTTGATTTTGTATTTCATTAATTTGACTTTGAATTGTTGGAGTCACGGATGTACTCAAAACAGAATTCACAAATGTTGGAACGCACATTGCTGACGAGACATTATTTGTTGAAATAGAGATTGGAACAGACGCAGCAGATTCCACCATTTTATTATCATCTAAACTTTGATGACTTTCAGTGAAATTGCTTGGAATTGAGATGGTGTATGGTTGGCCAATATTTTGAACGTCTGAAGTATCAAATCTTATCATAAATGGTAAATTATTCTGATTCAATTTCCCGTTGTCATTTTGCATTGCATCTGAGTTTTCAAGAGATGACGAAGGAATTGTAAAAGTGAAAGGTTGATCGGATGAACCTCCAGGAAATGTTATCATAATATCTGTTTGATTATTTTCACCAACATTTACATCTGGTGTTGACTGTAAAGTCATTCCTTGTCTTTGATCAACAATTTTATTTTCAACATTTTCAATCTGCTGAGGAGTTTCTTCTGTATCCATAAAGTCATCATCCTCCATTATTCCACATAATTTTATAACATTTGCCAAATCTAATTTACCAGTTGGCACTTGACTGTTTCTTGCTGGTGACATTATAATTTCTGATCTTTGTGTATTACTCTGCTGATCAAGCTGAGGCTGTTGTTGTTGATTTTGTTGATCTAACATTTTTTGCTTCTTAGATTTCTTTGTTTTTCTGGTTGGTTTCGTTGTCACAATAAGATTATTCTCTTGATGATGTTGACTAACATCTAAAGTCATCACTTCCGATTGATGATGAATGATTGGATAATTCAACGTTGTTTGTTGTGATGATGTTGGAATATCATGAATTGTCTTATCATTCGTCAAAATCACAGCTGTTTGAGGTTGAGGATTAAATGCTATCGAATTAGGTGGAGACATTGACATCATTGAGTGTTCAGTTTGAATAATTTGTGGTTGTGGTGTAGCCACGGGAGATATCATTTCATTTCCTTGTGATGTTAGTGAAATCGTATTCTGTTGACTTGTTGCAAACTGCATATGAGTGCCAGTCGACGTTGGTATCACTGCGGTAGGGACAATTTCGTTCTGGGTTGAAGTATGTGATGGAGATTGAAACGCAGCCGTCAATTGTGAGCCAATTGGTTGAATATGGTTGAAAGGGCCAATATTTTGTTGGAACTGGGCTGGGAGTTGCTGAATAAATTGACTATTGAGTCCATTGGACATTTGTATTTGGGTAAGATTTCCATTAATCTGGAGATTTTGTATTTGAGCGACACTTTGACCTAACATGTGACTATTTAATATCTGTTGGGGCTGCTGCCTTTGGCCAACCGTTTGCTGTTGTGACTGATGAATCAGTTGTGGTTGACTTATCTGCGTTGTAGCAGAAGTTGGTGTTTTAATTGTTTGAAGATTCTGATGAATGAGATTTGCCTGTGAAGAGACAATAAAAGTCGGCGTTGCTGTTGCAGTTGCCAATTGCATCGCACCATTTGTGTTTAAAATTCGGAGTAATTGTTGTGGTTGATGTTGTTGAATAGGTGATGGACGGTTATGAATCACCAAACTGGGTGTTGCTAATTGAGGTGCTGAAGGTGGTCGTAGGATCAGCTGAACACCTTGTGGGGTGTTTTGTTGTACCAGCACAGGCATCTGATTCAAAAGCAGAGGCTGCGCCCCTGATGGTAGAATTATTGAACCACTTTGGCTCACTTGATGCGGCTGTGGACTTGGTGACGAACTATTTCCAACAGGACTACTTGTTATCAATGTTTGACTTTGGTGAGGCGGAGATTGAAAGCTTTGACCTTGTCCAGATTGATGAAGAATTGCCATTTTTGATTGTGTAACAATTTGCTTAGTGCTCGTCGCGCTTGTCATAATGCTTGAGTTTCCCGATCCTGATATAATTGACGAGTTAGATCCGGTTGATGTTGATGAGACCGTAGGCTTCGGCAAGATCTGCTGTGGAGTTTTATTTTGCTTGACGCTTCCACTTAGCGAGTTGTTTGAATGAGAATAGACATTGCTTTGATTATTCGACGTCTGTAAAATTGAATGACGTTGTGATTGTGATGGTTGTTGCATGAAAACGATGGAATTGTTTGCATTCAATATCGGAAACTGTAAAGTTGAATTGCATTACGTTACAAAACAGTGCTATCAATAAGAAACATTACTTACTGGCTGTACAATCTGTTGTGAATTTAGCGTAGGACTCGGACTGGGACTGGCCGTTGGACTCCCCAATAAACCCATCGTTTTTTTCGACGCTTTCGGACTGCACGTGCTTGCTGATCCAACATATTGGTTTGTGTTATTTTGCGGCGTCCGCTTTGATTTCTAAAACAAAAACAGAGATTAATAAAATAACAATCAAAATGTGATCTCTGAGTTTATATGAAGATATTCCAACCTTGCTGTTGAGTGATATATTATTTGATCCTACTAAAGTCGTGTTAAACTCATTTCCAATAATTGTTGATGAAGATGTTAAGCTTGCCGGAGATTGTGACGGGGATGGGCGATAAACGATAGTTCCTGTGTTGGAATTTAGATGGTTTAAGGATAATCTCCGATTTGGTGTTCCTGACTTTCGATCCTTAAAAAAGATTAGAACTTAATTAAGAATTTGTATTTCTAAGGCAAACATTTTTATCACTTACTTGCTCCTGAGTCGTATTGAAAGTGTTGATAAAGTGCTGACTATTATTCGTGACGAGCAATACATCTTGCTGAAATGGTGATTGCGAAGGTGACGATTGCAGACGTGGACTATGCTGAACTGATGGAGATGGACTGGGTGTCAAAAACGTACCCGGAGGAGACAAAATACCTTCGTGAAGATTTTAAATTCCATTATTTATAAAAAGTTTGACAAAGATTCACGTGTGTTAAGCAAAAATTAATAATATTTAATATAACATAACAGACAATATTTTTGCAAAACTGAAACCCAAACAATAACTCAATCTGAGAAATAATAAAAATTAACTAAAATTTTCTACACAACGTAGATTCTGATCATGATAGTTTCTTCATGAAATTTTCGTGCACTTAACGGTTAATTTTTCTGAAGCAATGTTTTAGATGTATTGTAACATGTGTTTGAGATTTTGTTGCTTTTATATGATGTATATCGATATTTCGAAGTCAGGTTCAACTTATATTCTGTTTAGATAATATTATTATTGGAATGGGAAATAATTTTCATCACACATTTTTTTGTATAACAGTGTTAATAATATTTGCAACAATAAAATATATTATGTTTATTTTATCGTTCATTCATTCCTTTTATTATAATTGATTTGAATTAAAATAACTATGCAACATCCTTATTCACGCATCTGAGTAAATAAACAACAATGAATCCTGACACATTTCAGATGAAAATTGAATGAACTTTTCGTTCTTTTTCAGTTTTGTCTGTTCCAAATGCTTACTTATATTCATCCATTGTTTTTAAGCAAAAAAGTACACTAGACAAGCACAAATTAAGTATATATGTTAGAAAAAACTTTATATTAAATTTCAGATATTAGATATAATGTAAAACCTCAGGTTTCTTTCTTAGGATCTACAAATTAATGAAAATTTCACAAACACATACAGAAAAATTAAAATGGCAACACTTTAATTTTAAATTCAGGCAACACTAAGAGAAATTTTCCTTTAAGTTTTTATTTTTAAGTTTTCTTCATTATTATCTACAATTAACACTTGATAACACTTTTTTCATGTCCTTTTTATAGATTGGGACAATTAATAAACGCTTACCTTTTTCTAAACTTTGTCTTCGATTCATTTAAATTAGAAATAACTTGAGCGCCTGAATTCAGGACATTTCATTATTATCGTTCAATTTGCTTGTTTCGCAAGTAAATTTATTCTTTCTTAATAACTTAGTACATTCATTTACACATTTGTTTTGAATATAAACACTAATTTACATTCTTTTGCAGATTTTTTCAAACTTTTTTCTTAGGATTTCAGTTTCTTCTGACTTTTTAAAAACTGTTGCCAGAGACAAATTACCTGAGACAATGTTGCCAGAGATGTTCATCTTATGAACACTCCTTGTCATGATTTTGTATGAAAAATGAAATTTCCCGGTCCGCGTAAAAACGGCCGATGTATTGCCACACGTGCGCGAAATTTTTATTTTGTACTAGATTTTTTAAAGCAATTCTTTTTTATCATTACACCTTTGAACTGACTTTTTTAGGACTTTTATTTGTTCAAAAAGTGAAATCCCCTAAAATTACCTAAGTAATGTTAAATCAAATGCAAACTAGTAAAGTTATGAATAAATTTTTGTGATTTGTTTCCGTAGCACTTGTGATTTTAAACTTCATTAACTTATAAAAATGACAAGAGTACAACGTTTGGGATACTTATCTGCTCAAAATTCAATGTTCTTTTTATGTGATGTTCAAGAGAAATTTCGATTTATAGATTCTTTTCCGTTCTTCATTAAAAATGTTTCTAAGCTCGTAAGAATTTTCATTCCATTTCAAATTTTATTTCTTTTAAATCTATAAACTTTATTATCATTTCAGCTTCTAGCCGGAAAAACTTTGAATGTTCCGCTTATTGTGTCAGAACAGAATCCATCGAAATTGGGTAAAACAGTTTCAGAGCTTAACATTGATCATGCAATGGAAAAGTTTTCCAAGACCCAATTTTCTATGATTACACCTGAAATAAAAAATATTCTGGATAAATTAGATAATGTAGACTCAATCATATTGATGGGTCTAGAAAGTCACATATGCGTTGAACAAACTGCTATGGATTTATTATCAGATGGAAAGTATTCTGTTCACATTGCCACTGATTGTATCTTGTCTCGCTCCACTGGAGATCTTTTAATGGCATTATCACGATTGCAAAATATGGGTTGCATCATTTCAACTTCTGAAAATATCATATTTAAACTGCTCAAAGATAAAAATATCTAATTCCAAGTTCAATGAAGTGCGAAAACTTGTAACGGAACCGTCAAAATTTCCAGATGCATTAAGTAAATTATAATAAAAAATATTAGTTTCTTAGATTACAGTATGTATCAATATTTAAATCAGAATGGTGCTTGGATCCTTGTTTTAGTCATTTAAAAACTTGTTAAGAAATATAATTATATACCTACTTATACATAAGAAGATCAAATAAAAATGATTTCAGTAAAAAAATTCAAACTTCTGTTTATTTCATTACTTTTTGTGAGACGAATTCCTAAGAGTGCAGAATTCGAAACAAAATAAAATATTCAGTTTAAATACCAGATGAAAACAAAGAAGATACACCTGACGATTTATCATCGTTGAAGTTTGGATGTGATGGATAAAATGCTGTTTTTTGATTGCTTACATTTCCATTCTTCATATCAGAATGATCAAATATGTCATCCAATGAAACAACTGAAATAGGGCTGTTCGAATTTGTTGAATTTTGTTTCATGTCATATTCTTGAGCTGATTCCATGTCCATTTGATTTGATTTAATGGAATGAGATGTAGGGCTAAAGTTGTAACGTTGAAAAACTTCAAAATCATTATCTTTTCGAGTGTTTATGTTACTTTTCCTTTGATTATTCAATCTATTATCGTTGTTGGTGAAGATTGAATTATCTAAAATAATTAATTTCAATAGTGTTTTAATTCTTTCATATTTAGGTATATTTAAAAAGTTGTAATAATAATAATTACCATTTCCATTATCAATGATTTCGTTTGATTCAACCGGTCGACTTATGTATAAGTCTCCAAAAAGCTTACCAACATTTTCTATGTTTCCATTGCCAATTATTTCAAGAGATGACGGTGAAGTCTTTCTCATTTCATTTAAGAACATCTTTGACTCCGAAATGTTGTGGATTGTGACCTATTCATGAATTTGAATGAATTAAATAATTTAGAGACTGCAATAATTTAACCAAGAACTAAACAAGTTGTAAGAAAATTTGCCATTTAACTTTCAATAACAAAAAAAAGAGTAATCTATGCTGCAAGTTTCCAGCTTTGATCTGAACTCACCTCAGAGTTTAGCATATGTCCCGGTTTCAAACGTAATTCATCGTAATTCGTAGACAGTGCAGAAGGATTTGTTTGAAAATTTCTCGATTCAGAATTAAACTTATCATCACAATCAGTTCCGTTGTTATTGAAACTCAATGGAGTTGTTCCAAAGTGTGAGTAAGTCGATTGTGGTCGAACGCCATATTGATGGTTGAAATTGTCCATATTTCCGGCATGCTTTTGCTCATATTTTCGCCTTTGAAGAACATCTTTCATTTCACTCCCTATTACTGAACTACATTTAGGCTGAGACTCAGCTGTAAACTGAACGTCGTTACTATACGTTGAGTATTGATTTGGTGAGAGTGCAAAAGGCTTTGTGCTCCCATCCAATGGACGTGGCACAAATGCTGTAGAATTAACTGATCCAAAAACGTTCTGAAAGCAAGGATTGCGAATTGTGTACATGCCATTTTCATTTCGTATAATAGACGCTGCTTGAGATTCTGATTCATTGCTTTGTTTTGTTATTGGTACTGGCTGAGGATTTTCCATAATTCCTTTCGTTGAATCTCCCACTGGACTTTTATAAAATAATGGATTCTTCAATGTAACCATGCGATCAGATGTTGTTATCATTTGGTGCTTCGAACTTTTATTATCATTTTGTTCAGATGATTCTGGACACATTTTGTTTTTCTTTTTTTTGTTTTTCTTCTTACCGCTACTGTTATCAGATGGAATTGCCGATTGCGAAGATGAATTGAGTAAAATGGGATTACTTTCAATCATTATAATATCATTTGACTGTTCAGGTATTGCTCCAACAGATTTCGAATAATCTTGAATAGGTTGGACAATCTAAAAAAAATTTAAAAAAAAATAAAAAATGTTAATAAAACACATAAATTAGAAGAATTCTATTAAGTATGGTACCGACTTCATTCCTTGTTAATTCATTTAATTCAAAAAAATGTAACTCACTTTGTTTATTGAATCTCTTTTTGATGCCATTGAATCGTTTGGAGCGACTTTCGTAAGTGTTATTCCTGGTGGAAGTCTTAACCCTTCAACTCGAACTCCTCGATTTAATTGATCCATAATCGAATTAGAATTTATTTGATGCTTTTGCTGATGTTGAAGAATGGAAAGTTTTGATTTCATTAAAAGATCATCTTTATCGTCAATATGGTTCTTATTTTTTTTAAGGGATTGCTTCATATCTTTCAGAACAATTGCTTCATTCGAATTTAATGTAATACCATCAGTAGTTTTCATTGATTTCTTTTGGGTCTCCTTCTCAACTTTCATAGAATTTTGTTTCTTTTTCATTTTTTTCTCGATGTTTGATTTCTTTTCTCCCTGTTGTAAGCTTTGTGTATCACCAGTTATCTTATTGCCTTCAAATACATTATTGGAAACTTGTGATAAAGAATCTTCTTCTGATTCTGACTGTTGCTCGTTATCTAATAATTTGAAAGGATTGGCAGAAAACTCTGGATCAATGTAATTCTTATTTCTTTTTCGATTTAAATTCACGTCAATATCTGCTTGATTATTTGTCGCAGTTTCTTTTTTATCTGTTTTTGTTTTTTGATTCTTCAACGACTTTTTTCTAGGTTCCTGTGTTTCATTTTTTTTCTTAACATTTTTCTTCAAATCTTTTTTGACTTTCTCTACACCTTTTTCCGATGCCTCTGTAGATTGCTTCATTTTAATTCCTTTATTCAATTCCTTCGATTTTGAAGTAACCCTTGGTGTCATTATTTCAGTCGTTGCCATTATATTGTTAGGCTTACATAAATTCTGATGATCCATAACCATTTTTGTTTGTCCATTAGTGGACATGAAGAGTTGTATTGAACCATTTTGAAATGCTGAAGGTGAGAGTCTTGATGCTGGAACTAACTGGCCGTTAACAAATGTATAAAGCAGTTGGTCCATATCATTGGAGCCTTTTGCTGTGACTGTAACTTGAGGCTCGGCATGTGGTAAATTTATTCGTCTTATAGTAACCATACGCTTAGCTGGATCTTCAACATCTTCTTTTATTTTTTGATAATTTTCAATTTTTGCATTCGCACATGGCTTTGATATTGATTTTTGTTGCTGAACACTTTTCAATGCTACTTTCTCATTCGGTAAAAGTAAAGCAATGATAGCCTTCATTTCACCACATTCTTTCATTATGTCAAAATTTGAATTCAATTCTTTAATGCATTCGAATTTTTTTTTTTACTTCATTTTCTATTCGTAAACGAGAATTTGTGAGATCAGAAAGTTTTTCTTCCACAGTTTTCAATTTTTTAAATTCTTTTTTCTTACTGTTTCCTGCTTTCAATTGGCTTAGTTGATTTTTAACTTGCTTCTCCTCTAGAATGACATCAAGAAGTTCATTATTCATCTCCATAATATTTTCAAGTTTACAATCAATTTGTCGTCGCATTTTTTGTTCAAGTTGCTTCGCTTTTTTTTGTTGTTTCTTCATAGCAGCTTCTTCAGCTTTCTTAAGCTCCACGACAGCTTTACTACTAGGTCCTTCAATATATTCTACGAGATTCTCAAGTGATTTTACATTTATTTCTGTTGCTCTCTGAATTTTTACTTCCTCTGGCTTAATAGAGAAATTCGCTTTCTGTGGAGTGCTTTTCAACTTTTTTTTCTTTTGCTGTAATTCAAGTTCCATTTTCATTTTCATTCGTTCTCCAACATTTGCTTTCAAGTTATCATTTTTTAGAAACTTTTGCATGGATGTTGCATCAGCAGCTACTTTTGTGGAATTCATGGGTAGAGGAGCAGATGCGTGTGTAGAAGTAGAAGCCAAATCTGATATCGAAGACTTTGTAGCACCATTTTTCAAAAGTAAGCTGATATTTTTTATATTTTTATTTTTTGTTGTGAAATCTTTCTGATTTTGGAGCTGATGAAGACGCTTTCGAAGTCGATCTCGAGTCTCGGTAGATCGCGAATTTATAAATTCTTGATTTTTACCAAATAAAGTACAATAATAACAAACACAATCAGCTCCATTTCCCGAATCTTTGCCATGGTCTAAATCGAAATTCAAAGATGGTGACGATGAATCAGGTTGTGAATGTCCATGACATATTGTTGTATTGCTTTCCGAAATTTTCGATGTCGTTACTGTAACTTGAACTTCTTTTTTCTCACCATGAATTTGTTCTAATCCTTTAACCATATCCTTCAACATGTTATGTTCTTTTTGTAATGACTTTAACTCTGCCTCGAGTTTTTTATTATTTGCTGCAAGCTTTAAAGCCTCAACGAGTGGTTTTTGAATTTCATTTTCAAGAACTTTTTTAGCGTTGTCTGTATTGTTATCATGATTCAAAGAAAATGTATTTAATTTCTCGGCAACTTCTCTCATTGACTCTTGAACCATTTCTAATGCATTGTTTTCTCTTCCAGATGAAACTTCTGCTGTTATTCTTAATTCTTTAAGGGTCATGTCTATTGTGTCTTCGTTAGAGTTTGAAAGTACTGGTCCCTCGTGATGAATTCTGTTAGAAATGATGCCAAAACTTTTAAATAAACTCGTCAAATTAATTTTTTCCAGCCATTCAAGATCCATTTGAATATCACCATCGTCTCCTTTCTCAAATAACGCGAAAAGATAAGAGAAAATTATATGTTTGGGAGGAAATTTCAAATCAATTTTAAAATTCTCAGCTAAAGCTGCAGCTAGACCAGCTCGTAATATTGGATCAGCTATATCTTCATCCTCCCAGAACATATTGAGCAATAAAAATGAATGATTTATTTCATCAGCTTCTTGCATAATCTCTTTGGCAGCAGCTCCACTTTTTTTTAAGCAAAACTTACGAATAAGACTTTGACTTGGAACTTTAAGAAACTTCTCGCGATCAGGTGTCGAAAGTGGTTGATAAGTATTGAGGAGAAATTTTGTAAAGCTTAATGGATATGAACCAATAATCAAATTAGTTGCTACTTGACATTCCATACGCTGACAAGGCGGATCGTCAAAGACACAAAATATTTCCGGTAGAATCATTTCTTTGTTGTAGGGTTCACGCTCTTTTAAGTTTTTAAATACGCACCATGCTAAATGATAGCATTCATCATTAAGTAAATTTTCTCTCGTTTTATCTTGATTTCTATTTGATAAATCTGCTATGTATGAAGTATCTTCACCTGTCATAAAACATGAGCAACATTGACAACTTCTTTTCTTCCATTTATAATGTGGTGCTCTTTTAATCGTATTTAAAACACCCAACCACACATCAATTTTCTCACTTGATACAATCCAATCAAGTGCTAATGCTTGTTCATTCACTGTTGCATCACATGGTATTTCATTTAATTGACATAAGTTTTCCATTATTTTACGAATCATATCGATTCGTTCCAACCGAGCTACTTGATCCGGTGTTGATTTCTTATAAAGTTTCAATGCAACTAATGCTTCTTCCCAAGATTGAGCAATTTGCGACATTTCTTCGTCAAACTTTATGAATCGATAGACAAAGCTTTTATATGTTTCTGTGTCAACAGAATCTTTCAGTTTCAAGATGCAATCAGCCATTTGACTTTCAATGTCCACATATAAGAAGCGGTAATACATACATTGATTCAGAAGTTGCCAAGTTAATGAAAACTTTTGTAAATGATCACGAATTTCTATGACGAGTGGAGTTAATGTATCTGAAATTTCCATTAAACGATTGTAGCCATCGAGTATATCTAAAACAAGAAAATCTCATTAAGTTTATATCTTTTAAATAACATAAATGAACGTACAGTTGAGAAATTTTTCAGGCTTATAATATTTCTCCTCTGCAACAGTACACTTTGTTATCTCCTTAATTCCTTCTCTGTAAGTTATTATTATTGACTTCAATTGAAGACACAATAGTTCAAAAAGTTGATGTCTATCACGAGTGTACAACATGTTAAACACAATAATAAAAGTCATTTCGTTTGACAATGAGAAATAGTTGCCCATTGAGACATGAATGTTCTTTTTAACATCAATGCTGCCATCGCTGAACCATCTCGTTTTGCAGGACTCCGTTTGAAGTTCAAGATGTTTACGAATGAAAGTAGATTCATGTTCCCTAATTCAAATATTTTAATTATATTGTATGATATGCCAATAATAACAACTTAGGTAACTTACACAGGCATTATAGTGTAATAAGAATTGATAATTTCCTTCAATTTTTCCCACAAATCATTGTAGGCCTCATTCTCCATATGAATCCCAATTATTAATTTGCGAAATGTTAGGCATTTACTGCAATTGCAGTAAATACAAAAAGTCTTCTCCGAATGCTTTATTTGAAGCTTATTTTCCTTTAAGATATTATAAATTTATATAATTTTGACACACATGACAATATTTACTCACATTTTCCAATATTTCCTCTTTTAAATCAGAAATATGTTCTTTCGCAAGGCTCATGACAGATCTTTGCCAAAATACAATATCAAAAAGGCGCTTTTATTCATTTTTTTTTCAATATTTTCTAACTTATACAATGTCTACTAACTGGTAGATTTTCAAAAACGAACACAACTTAAACGAGGAGCCTGCGAGAAAGACGCAAATCTTGTAAATTAAACAGCTCTCATTAAAAAAGTATCTCGAAGAAAACGTTCACAAGACTTATGTAGATGTCGATGAAATGACTCAGTCGTTAATGGGCCGATACCAAGAATACTCGCGCCGAAAAATGATCCCTTTCCGAACAATGGTTGAGCTTGGTAAAATTTTCAAAAACTTCTTATATTTCATCCTGAAATGCCATCAATACCAAGGATTAGCTGATCTTCTTATGAGTTTTAAATTTCTTCATAATTTCGGTGAAACCTTAGGATTTGGTGAGTTGAAATTTGATTTCTTTGCAGCATCATGAGATGATTTTTAATTTATTTTTATTAAAGATATGGAATCTTTACCTACTCTGCAATCGCTGCATAATGCTTTAAGTCATGAAAATGCTGCTGAAGCTGAAGATGAACTTTTATCTGTCATAACTCATCTTTTAGTCTGTGCCATTGAAGATCCAGGCATTCAATTGTTACAACGAACGTTACAAACTTTCAGAAAGTCTTAAAGATAAACCTTTTGTTGCTTTGAATTCGACAGTGAAAGAATGAAGGAAATCGTCTACATGGTGAAAGACAACGTCCGATGGTGTTTCGTCCACGATCAAGAAGTCTCAGCTCACAAAGTCGCTCACCAATTGCAGATGGCAACAACTTATCAACAATGAATCATTTGTTCAAAGAACGATTTCCAAAAGCACANCCTTTAAGATATTATAAATTTATATAATTTTGACACACATGACAATATTTACTCACATTTTCCAATATTTCCTCTTTTAAATCAGAAATATGTTCTTTCGCAAGGCTCATGACAGATCTTTGCCAAAATACTTCATCCCTTTGTAATATATCAAAGTCAACACCTTTCTTCAATGTTTTTTTCTCAAATTCGTTTTTCAAATCCATTTTATCACTGTTTAGAGTAAAAGTTTTTAGCCCCTCTACAAATATCTACAAGGCGCTTTTATTCATGTTTTCTTCAATATTTTCTAACTTACACAATTGTCTTCCCCAAAATAACATTATTGCAAAACTCGACGTATCAAGTACACAAAACTTTTATAGCGCATATACCCATTTGTGTTCCTTAAGTTTTCGCAACTTATTCAAAACTTGTTTGACAAATTTCGAAAATCATATTAGAATCTAGATTAATTTACCTTTTCAATCGTCTTTTTAATGTACATCAATTGTGTTCTAGAGACCAAATGAAAGCGTTCATATATCGTTTCTACTGAATTAATGGAAAACTTTTGATATAATATTAAATCGATTTATTTTCTCAAAATCTACTATAAAAGAAGAAAAAATAAGTCATTAATTTTATAATGGATAAAAACAGCAATAACCAACCAGAGCAGCAAGCACATCATTCAGTTTATCAAAAGCTAGATCAAGTAGAAACAAGGCGTCAACAATTAAAATTAAGCTTTCCTACGCAAGCTACAGAGAAGAAAATTATTCCTCCAAAACCTCAGCAACAGCAACTTCCAATATTAAATTCAAGGTAGGTGAATCATCCTCGAATTCTGAAAAAAAATAACAACACATTCTTATCACAATGATACTTTATTTGAGCAATTTCTATTTATTCATCTTTATTTCAGTCGCGAACGATTCCGAGCTCATGAATCGGGAAAGCTGCAATTTAGTTGTTCGGAAATTTACGATTTCACATCTGACGATCTTGTTGACTTAGGTGAAATTGGACGAGGTGCATTTGGGAGTGTTAACAAAATGATTTTTAAGAAAACTGACAAAGTGATGGCTGTTAAGGTATTAAACTTAAATACTTATCTATGAAAAGATGAAATAAGCTTTGATTATTTTATTTAAAGAGAATCAGATGTTCAAGTGTTGTTGATGAAAAAGAGCAGAAAAGAATAATGGATCTTGATGTTGTCATGAAATCAAATGATTGTAGCTACATTGTGCAGTTCTACGGTGCCATTTTTAAAGAAGGCGATTGTTGGATTGCAATGGAAATTATGTCAACGTCACTAGATAAGTTTTACAAATATGTTTGTGAACGTCAGCAGGAACGTATTCCAGAAAATATTTTGGGGCAAATAACAGTTGCTACTGTACACGCCTTAAATTATCTTAAAGAAAAACTGAAAATTATTCATAGAGATGTGAAGCCGTCGAACATTCTTCTTCATGAGCGGGGAGATATAAAATTATGTGATTTTGGTATCAGCGGCCAATTGATTGGTAAAAAATTATTCTAATTTCAAATATGAAATTTTCATTAGTTAACAATATAATTTCATTCAGAATGTTATTCATTTTTTCTTTCCTTTGAAGAGTATTATGCTTCTAATACTTGTTTGAATTTATTTCAGATTCAATTGCAAAAACTAAAGACGCTGGATGTAGGCCTTACATGGCACCAGAACGAATAGATCCAGAATTTTCTCATAAAGGTTACGATGTTCGAAGTGATGTATGGTCACTGGGGATAACTTTAATGGAAGTAGCAACAGGGAAGTTTCCTTATCAAAGCAAATGGGCTTCTGTGTTTGAGCAATTATATCAGGTTGTTCAAGGTGAGGCGCCTCGATTAACGCGTCATTACAACGGAATGGATTTCTCTGAGGATTTTTGTAATTTTGTGAATACTTGGTAAGTGAATGAAATGAAAAATAAATTTTATGTGCATATACTGATAAAAATTTCCATGAATATTTCTGTCTTTATTATTAGTTTAATCAAAGAAGAAACAAATCGTCCAAAATACAAAACTCTGTTACAACATCCGTTTATATTATTGCATGAGCAACTTCAACCATATGTCCATCCAGAAGTCGCATCTTATGTTGGTGAGTAGAATAGTTTTATAAGCAAATTTCATTCATCTTAATTCTTTATATTTGCTTTTGAATGTTTTGTGAGTAAAGTAGAAAAGTTAAAATGATAATTACATATTGAAATGGATCACACATTTTTATAGAATTTCCAATTGTACTCAAATAAGAAGCTTCCATTAAGTTTCATTTAATAGCTGAAACATTTTATATGAAATTATTTTATAAAATAGTTGTTTTCATAGTATTGAAATTATTCTTTCGCATAGTAAAGTACAGATTTATATTATCTCTAATTGATTTTTATCAGTAAAATATCAGATTATCTAAACATATTTTTCCTTTCTTTTTTATGTATACCTATGTGAAGTAAATACATTGGAATCGATGGCAAACTGTGGTATTACACAATTTACAACAGATCAACCAGCAATTTGGTAGAAATTAAAAATGTTCGTTTTCGTATTTGATCTATAGGATTTAGTTAATTAAATATTATGTTTCTTCAGCTTTCAAATTTTATTTTAGGAAAATAGTTGTACTAAATATTACAACAATGTGAAATACTTAGGGGACTGGTTTTATGCTTCAGAAACTCGTCTTGTTTTAACTTTGCTTATAATATTTTAACTCTTTACTAAAACTTTTCGATGTCTTTTTTTCAGTTTTATCGTTAATCATCTTGCATTTAGCTTACATAATATTATAAGTTTGATCCGCAAGAAGAAACTTTCGTAAGAAAAGATTATTAAGTGATCAATAAACAGTGTTTTTCTCCCTACACAAACTAAAATTTCTTATTAAATACATGATACCTAATGCCAGTCTTCTCAAGTAGATATGAAAGCAAAATACTTGATACAAAACTTGTTTAAGAAAATTAAATGATGGAAATAAAATACATAAATTTGGAAGAGAATAACTATGTATTTATGTACATTACTTAGACAATAACCATACAAAACATAAGAAGGATGAGATAAAAGCTCTAAAACAGTTTTCAAATTTATGTTCATCGTCATAAATGAGCTTGACAACAATTTTTAAAATACAGATAATATTAATGTATGTAAAAACGATTCAATTAAATTAAGGGCAGTGAAAATCAATAAATTTAAGTTTAAACAAATGAAAATTGGTTTTATTTTATTTATATTATTATTGGATGCATTTCATAAAGTTTCACTTAAATGTTACAGGATACAGAACAATTAATCCAAAATAGCTTCTACAAAAATTTATTCTTACTTTATAATTTCTTTTTAAAATAAGGGAATATATTATGAAATGACGTAGAAAATATCGAAGATTTATCAATGAATATGAAACATGATTCATCAATAACAATTAAAGTTGAAATCATTGTCAGTTCCATATAGAACTGCCCGTGAATAGTTTTGAAATCTTCTCTTTTAAGAGAAGTTGGCCCGTACCACATTCAATTTATCTTCGTATTTCTCTACTTCACTTTTAGATAGTTCAAATTAGACATTTCTGCGATGAGATATCTATGATCATCATATCTATGAACTTAGCTATACTAACATCGCACCAATATAATTCTAAACGATATTTTAACTTTGTGATTTAATAAGCTAACAATAAAAGGACAAATACTAAGTATGATAAATGTTCAAGAGAATTTGTAAACTCATTCAGCATATCTAATTGAATCAAAAGTTATCAAATATATATTAAATCTTCTTAAGCAATAATTATTTAGATACAAACAATAATTCTACAGAAGTTTCACTTTTCATCTTTTTTAACTGAAAATATTTCATAATAAAATATGTATTAAACTCTAGTATTTATTAAACATTAAATGTAAATATTTTGAAGAATGTGGTCAGTTAAGAAGTGCTAGATTTTTGAAGAGGCGTTGCAGATGCAAGGTTGATTATATTTTGAGCCAAAATTTTATGTGATTCGTTGAGTTCATTTTGACTTTGCGTTTTATTCAGCGTTGCTTGTGTGGAACCAATATCAAAAAGATCCTTACTTACTGTTATCTTTGACTTCTGCGTAGTACCATCATTGTAAATAATAAGATTTCCATTCTCAGAACGTTTTTTTTGTTCCCATTCATCTATTGAATCGATGTCATAATCAATAAGCATTTTTGAGCTCTTCGTTGAAGGTAATGTAAGCGAAGATGCTTCTGAAGACAGTTGAAAGACATACTTATAAACGTTCTCAACATAATCATGCTCGTTTGAAACATACATCAAGGAATCCTCTGAATCCATGTCTTCTAATTCTGATTTCAAATCAAATAATAAATTTCTTCGGTTTTGTTGATCACCAAATGATGCGGTGACTAAATCATTGGCATTTAAGGTATTTTTATTCAAATTAATGTTTGGTAATGCCACGAGTGCCATTGACAACAGAAGAATCATTAAGCATGTTGCTGGTTGGGCCGACTTTCCGGTGCTTTTCGTTAACAAATTCTGAAGCTTTTTCATTTTTGACATGAGGTCATGATTTTGATTTTGGAGAACTTTAATGCGTTTAATCAAGTGTTGATTTTCTTCAGAGCATTGCTTCACCCTCTCTTCAAGACCATCGATGTATTCCTTCTTTCGTTTTCGGGAATCTTGTGCAGAAATTTTGTTACGAATTTTACGACGAATTCTTTTCAATTCTCGTTCTTCATGTTTTGTTAGTGGATAACTTGTTGGTAATGTGATGCCTTCTTTTGATAGTAATCGTTTCTCTTCGTTGGTAAGAAGAAGCTTTGGATAACCAGAGCTGCAACTTTCTACAGATGACATGTCATCATCGTCATCTTCATGCGCTGCAATAACCTCATCAGATTCTTGCATTATGTCGTCAAAATTTAACATATTTTCGTCATCATCGTCTTCCATTTCATTACATTCAACTTTTTGTTTCGGTATCAAAATGTTCTTCTGCAATAAGCCTTGTTTTGATTTTTGTAATAAATTTGCAGCAACCGCTTTTATGTTAGCACCTTTAAATTGTAGTGATCCTGTATTAACAATTTTAATCGAATGAAAATCTTTTATATTTTTCGATGAAACTGGTACGATAATAGAACGAGACTTATTGTTGACATTTTTGAAATGCAAAAGCTTTTGATTGCCTAAAAATTGGAAATGTGTCAAAGGATATTATATGAAATAACTTTGTGAATAATTAAACAAACATTACACACCTTTCTTATTGTTGTTATTCACGTTTTTTAAAGTCAATGATCCAAATTTACTGTTGTTTCTGCTACTTCTTGCACTTCGCTTCAAAGGAGCTGTCTCATTAGAAGTGTTCATAGTTTCCATTCTGTCAATTATTTCTGACTTTTCCTGACTATAATTTCGTGGAGAAGGCAAGCAAGAATTCAAAATATCCAAGTCATTATTTATGTCCCTAAGAAAAACAAATTATCAAAATCAAATTTTTAAGGGTGCAAATTAAAGAGTTACAAGTCCAAATTATCACTAGACAATCCGCTATCTGAAGCTCCAGAGGAAAATATTGGTTCATTCTTAAAGTTTTCGGCGCAATTAAACATCGGAGGATCACTAAAATTTAACATGTTTTCGATAAGATCATTTGGTTGAGCCCCAAAATCTGATGTGTTCAACAATTCATTTTCCATAGAAAATATAGAATCGAGAAAAGACTCGTCCTGTATCCAATCATCATTACACTGTCAACGAAATAAAGGAAATCATAAGTATTTACTAAATAATTTGTTTTATGAATCTTATGTTTTACAATCATTTCATAACTCACGCCTATGATAATTTCTTTGAACTTTTGCAAAACAAAAAATTTGATTTTATTTAGACGACGTAAGCAAATATATTCCCCATATAGGTAGGTATAACAAGAAAAAGTGAATATGAAAAATGAAACAACATTAAATGAAAAAGAGATAGGAAAGTACAAATGTGATATGGAAATGTTCAGAATTCTTTTGAAATAAGGAAATCTCATTGCACTGGCAAATGCTTCTTTGTTAATCATAATCCTAACACTACATTGAATTTTTCTCTTTCTCTCATTTCATTTATACCCAGCCAGTTCCTAAAATTAAGAAAAACAAAGAAAATTACCAAAAATGTATTAGAATTTTGTTTGTCCATAATTTATCCAATTTTGTTATACTATAATTATTATTTTAGAATGAATGATTTAAATCATTCATTACAAAAGCAAGAATCCGTAAACTTGCGAAATTAAAGAAAGTTATCTCTTTTTTCTTTTCTTCGTCAAAACTCCACGCAAGCAATATTTAGTTTCTCACTATAATTTGGATTCTCACAGTCCGGACGTTTCTCATACAAAATTTTGTTCAGACTAAACTCTCCTACTTAATCATTGGCGGCGCTGTCATCGCAAAATCAGGGAGTGACAAATTATCAGGGAGTGACAAATTTCTCCCGAGAAATTTGGAATCAGCGGTGTTGAGTTCTTT